TGCTGGCTTTGCAATAGGCCCCGAAAAGCGCAGCCACGTGACCCGGTGGAAGAAAAACACTCGGAACGAGTGCTTCTAGCCTCAAAACGCGCAAGGGATCCGCGCATGTGCAGGAAGTTCAGCGGGCGCTCTTCATTCGCGAGCGCCGATGACAAATGATGCTCGCAACCCTCCCACGCCCTTGCTGGCTTGGCAATAGGCCCAGACAAGCGCAGCCACGTGACCGAGTTGAAGAAAAACGCTCGGAACGAGCGCTTCCAGCCTCAAAACGCGCAAGGATCTGCACATGTGGAGGAAGTGCAGTGGGCGCTCTTCATTCACGAGCGCCGATGTATAATGATGCTTGCAACCCACCCACGCCCTTGCTGGCTTGGCAATAGGCCCAGAAAAGCGTAGCCACGTGACCAGGTGGAAGAAAAACGCTCGAAACGAAGGCTTCTAGCCTCAAAACGCGCAAGGATTCGCGCATGTGGAGGAAGTGCAGCGGGCGCTCTTCATTCGCGAGCGCCGATGACCAATGATGCTCGCAACCCTCCCACGCCCTTGCTGGCTTGGCAATAGGCGGAGAAAAGCGCAGCCACGTGACCCGGTGGAAGAAAAACACTCGGAACGAGTGCTTCTAGCCTCAAAACGCGCAAGGGATCCGCTCATGTGCAGGAAGTGCAACGGACGCTCTTCATTCGCGAGCGCCGATGTCCAATGATGCTCGCAACCCTCCCACGCCCTTGGTGGCTTGGCAATAGGCCTAGAAAAGCGCAGCCACGTGACCCGGTGGAAGAAAAATGCGCGGAACGAGCGCTTCTTCCCTCAGAACGCGGAAGGGATCCGCACATGTGCAGGAAGTGCATCGGGCCCTCTTCATTCGTGAGCGCTGATGACCAATGATGCTCGCAACCCTCCCACGCCCTTGCTGGCTTGGCAATAGGCCCAGAAAAGCGCAGCCACGTGACCCGGTGGAAGAAAAACGTTCGGAACGAGCGCTTCTAGCCTCAAAACGCACAAGGATCCGCGCATGTGGAGGAAGTGCAGCGGGCGCTCTTCATTCGCGAGCGCCGATGACCAATGATACTCGCAACCCTCCCACGCCCTTGCTGGCTTGGCAATAGGCCCCGAAACGCGCAGCCACGTGACCCGGTGGAAGAAAAACACTCGGAACGAGTGCTTCTAGCCTCAAAACGCGCAAGGGATCCGCACATGTGCATGAAGTGCAACGGGCGCTCTTCATTCGCAAGCGCCGATATCCAATGATGCTCGCAACCCTCCCACGCCCTTGCTGGCTTGGCAATAGGCCCAAAAAAGTGCAACCACGTGACCCGGTGGAAGAAAAACGTGTGAAAAGGCTAGGTTCTAGCAAGGCTTAGGCAAAGGTGGGCTAAGGAGCCATGGTTTAGGAGGACGAGTGAATTGAGTATCGAGAGTATTGAAAAGTCGAGAGTGAAGAAAAGGGTTCAATAAAGAGCAAAGGTACAAAGATATAGGCAAGAACTAGGGTAATGAGGTGCACCACCAAACGGGAAACATAACTACACTAACACTACAGACAATTATATAAATATGAATAACATATTTCGACAAAACGCTCGAAACGAGTGCTTCTAGCCTCAAAACGCACAAGGGATCCGAACATGTGAAGGAAGTGCAACGCGCGCTCTTCATTCACGAGTGTCGATGACCAATGATGCTCGCAACCCTCCCACGCCCTTGCTGGCTTAGCAATAGGCCCAGACAAGGGCAGCCACGCGACCCGGTGGAAGAAAAACGCTCGGAACGAGCGCTTCCAGCCTCAAAACACGCAAGGATCCGCGCATGTGGAGGAAGTGCAGCGGCCGCTCTTCATTCGTGAGCGCCGATGACCAATGATGCTCGCAACCCACCAATGATGCTTGCAAGAACAAGGGCCCAGCGTGTGCAATATTGCAAGAACAAGGGCCCACCGTGTGCAAAATTGCAAGAACAAGGGCCCAGCGTGTGCAAAATTGCAAGAAAAAGGGCCCAGCTTGTGCGAAATTGCAAGAACAACGGCCTAGCGTGTGCAAAATTGCACCAACAAGGGCCCAGCGTGGGTCAAATTGCAAGAACAAGGACCCAGCGTATGAAAAATTGCAAGAACAAGGGCCTAGCGAGTGCAAAATTGCAAGAACAAGGGCCTAGCGCGTGCAAAATTGCAAGAACAAGGGCCTAGCAGGTGCAAAATTACAAGAACAAGGGACTGGCGTGTGCAAAATAGCAAGAACAAGGGCCCAGTGTGTGCAAAATTGCAAGAACAATGGCCCAGTGTGTGTTTAATTGCAAGAACAAGGGCCTAGCGTGTGCAAAATTGCACAAAGAAGGGCCCACCGAGTGCAAAATTGCAAGAACAAGGGCCCAGCGTATGCAAAATTGCAAGAACAAGGGCCTAGCGAGTGCAAAATTGCAAGAACAAGGGCCTAGCGCGTGCGAAATTGCAAGAACAAGGGCCTAGCGAGTGCAAAATTGCGAGAACAAGGGCCTAGCGTGTGTAAAATAGCAAGAACAAGGGCCTAGCGTGTGCAAAATTGCAAGAACAAGGGCCTAGGGGGTGCAAAATTGCAAGAACAAGGGCCTAGCATGTGCAAAATTGCAAGAACAAGGTCTTAGCGTGTGCAAAATTGCAAGAACAAGGGCATAGCATATGCAAAATTGCAAGAGCAAGGGCCCAGCGTGTGCAATATTGCAAGAACAAGGGCCCAGCGTGTGCAAAATTGCAAGAACAAGCGCCCGGCGTGTGCAAAAAATGCAAGAACAAGGGCCCACCGAGTGCAAAATTGCAAGAACAAGGGCCCACCGTGTGCAAAATTGCAAGAACAAGGGCCCAACGTTTGCAAAAATGAAAGAACAAGGGCCGAGCGTGTGCAAAATTGCAAGAACAAGGGCACAGCGAGTGCAAAATTGCAAGAACAAGGGCCCTGCGTATGAAAAATTGCAAGAAGAAGGGCCTAGCGAGTGCAAAATTGCAAGAACAAGGGCCTATCGAGTGCAAAATTGCAAGAACAAGGGCCCAGCGAGTGCAAAATTTCAAGAACAAGGACCTAGCGTGTGCAAAAGTGCAAGAACAAGGTCCTAGCGTGCGCAAAATTGCAAGAACAAGGGCCTAGCCTATTCAAAATTGCAAGAAGAAGGGCCCAGAGAGTGCAAAATTGCAAAAACAAGGGCCTAGCGTCTGCAAAATTGCAAGAACAAGGGCCTAGCTAGTGCAAAATTGCAAAATTAAGGGCCTAGCTTGTGCAAAATTGCAAGAAAAAGGGCCTAGCGAGTGCAAAATTGCAAGAACAAGGGCGCAGCGAGTGCAAAATTGCAAGAACAATGGTCCAGCGAGTGCAAAATTGCAAGAACAAGGGCCCAGCGAGTGCAAAATTGCAAGAACTAGGGCCCAGCGAGTGCAAAAATGCAAGAACAAGGGTGCAGCGAGTGCAAAATTGCAAGAACAATGGTCCAGCGAGTGCAAAATTGCAAGAACAAGGGCCTAGCGAGTGCAAAATTGCAAGAACAAGGGCCTAGCGAGTGCAAAATTTCAAGAACAAGGGCCCATCGAGTGCAAAATTGCAAGAAGAAGGGCCTATCGTGTGCAAAATTGCAAGAACAAGTTCCTAGTGTGTGCAGAATTGCAAGAACAAGGGCCCAGCGTGTGCAAAATTGCAAGAACAAGAGCCTAGCGTGTGCAAAAGTGCAAGAACAAGGGCCTAGCGAGTGCAAAATTGCAAGAACAAGGGCCCAGCGTGTGCAAAATTGCAAGAACAAGGGCCTAGCGTGTGCAAAATTGCAAGAACAAGGGCACTGCGTGTGCCAAATCGCAAGAACAATGGCCCAACGTATGCAAAAATGCAACAACAAGGGCTTAGGGTGTACAAATTTGCAAGAACAAGTGCCCAGCGAGTGCAAACATGCAAGAACAAGGGCCCAGCGTGTGCAAAATTGCAAGAACAATGGCCCAGCGTGTGCAAAAATGCAAGAACAAGGGCCTAGCGTGTGCAAATTTGCTAGAACAAGGGCCCAGCGTGTGCAAAATTGCAAGAACAAGGGCCTAGCGACTGCAAATTTGCAGGAATAAGGGACTAGCGTGTGCAAAATTGCAAGAACAAGGGCCCATCGAGTGCAAAAATGCAAAAACAAGGGCCCAGCGAGTGCAAAATTGCAAGAACAAGGGCCCAGCGTATGCAAAATTGCAAGAACAAGGGCCCTGCGAGTGCAAAATTTCACAAACAAGGGCCCAGTGAGTGCAAAATTGCAAGAACAAGTGCATCGCGTGTGCAAAATTGCAAGAACAAGGGCCTAGCGAGTGCAAAACTGCAAGAACTAGGGCCCAGCGAGTGCAAAATTGCAAGAACAACGGCATAGCGTGTGCAAAATTGCTAGAACAAGGGCCCAGGGTGTGCAAAATTGCAAGAACAAGGGCCTAGCGAGTGCAAAATTGCAAGGACAAGGGCCTAGCGAGTGCAAAATTGCAAGAACAAGGGCCTAGCGAGTGCAAAATTGCAAGAACAAGGGCCCAGCGTGTGCAAAATTGCAAAAGCAATGTCCTAGCGAGTGCGAAAATGCAAGAACAAGGGCCTAGCGTGTGCAAAATTGCAAGAACAAGGGCGCAGCGAGTGCAAATTTGCAAGAACAAGGGCCTAGCGTGTGCAAAATTGCAAGAACAAGGGCCTAGTGTGTGCAAAATTGCAATAACAAGGGCCTAGCGGGTGCAAAATTGCAAGAACAAGGGCCCAGCGTGTGCAAATTTCAAGAACAAGGTCCTAGCGTATGCAAAATTGCAAAAACAACGGCCTAGCGTATGCAAAATTGCAAGAACAAGGGCCTAGCGAGTGCAAAATTGCATGAACAAGGGCCTAGCGTGTGCAAAATTTCAAGAAAAAGGGCCTAGCGTACACAAAATTGCAAGAACAAGGGCTCAAAGTGTGCAAAATTCCAGGAACAAGGGCCCAGCGTGTGCAAAATTGCAAGAACAAGGGCCAAGCGTGTGCAAAATTGCAAGAATAAGAGCCATGCGTATGCAAAATTGCAAGAACAAGGGCCGAGCAAGTGCAAAATTGCAAGAACAAGGTCCTAGCGTGTGCAAAATTGCAAGAACAAGGGCCTAGCGAGTGCAAAATTGCAAGAATAAGGGCCTAGCGTGTGCAAAATTGCAAGAACAAGGGCCTAGCGTATGCAAAATTGCAAGAACAAGGGCCCTGCGTGTGGGAAAATGCAAGAACAAGGGCCTAGCGTGTGCAAATATGGAAGAACAAGGTCCTAGCGTGTGCAAAATTGCAAGAACAAGGGCCTAGCGTATGCAAAATTGCAAGAATAAGGTCCCAGCGAGTGCAAAATTGCACCCGCCCCATTCTCCCCCTTTCCATCACCCCGCCCCATTCTCCCACTTTCCATCACCCCGCCCCATTCTCCCACTTTCCATCACCCCGCCCCATTCTCCCGCTTTCCATCACCCCGCCCCATTCTCCCGCTTTCCATCACCCCGCCCCATTCTCCCGCTTTCCATCACCCCACCCCATTCTCCCGCTTTCCATCACCCCGCCCCATTCTCCCGCTTTCCATCACCCCGCCCCATTCTCCCGCTTTCCATCACCCCGCCCCATTCTCCCGCTTTCCATCACCCCGCCCCATTCTCCCGCTTTCCATCACCCCGCCCCATTCTCCCGCTTTCTATCACCCCGCCCCTTTCTCCCGCTTTCCATCACCCTGCCCCATTCTCCCTCCTTCCATCACCCCGCCCCATTCTCCCTCCTTCCATCACCCCGCCCCATTCTCCCTCCTTCCATCACCCCGCCCCATTCTCCCGCTTTCCATCACCTCACCCCATTCTCCCGCTTTCCATCACCCCGCCCTATTCTCCCGCTTTCCATCACCCCGTTCCATTCTCCCGCTTTCCATCACCCCGCCCCATTCTCCCGCTTTCCATCACCCCGCCCCATACTCCCGCCTTCTATCACCACGCCCCATTCTTCCACTTTCCATCACCCCGTCCCATTCTTCCACTTTCCATCACCCCGTCCCATTCTTCCGCTTTCCATCACCCCGCCCCATTATCCCGCTTTCCATCACCCCGCCCCATTCTCCCGCTTTCCATCACCCCGCCCCATTCTCGCACTTTCCATCACCCCGCCCCATTCTCCCGCTTTATCACCCCGCCCCATTCTCGCACTTTCCATCACCCCGCCCCATTCTCCCGCTTTCCATCACCCCGCCCCATTCTCCCGCTTTCCATCACCCTGCCCCATTCTCCCGCTTTCCATCACCCCGCCCCATTCTCCCGCTTTCTATCACCCCGCCCCTTTCTCCCGCTTTCCATCACCCTGCCCCATTCTCCCTCCTTCCATCACCCCGCCCCATTCTCCCTCCTTCCATCACCCCGCCCCATTCTCCCTCCTTCCATCACCCCGCCCCATTCTCCCTCCTTCCATCACCCCGCCCCATTCTCCCGCTTTCCATCACCCCGCCCCATTCTCCCACTTTCCATCACCTCACCCCATTCTCCCGCTTTCCATCACCCCGCCCTATTCTCCCTCTTTCCATCACCCCGCCCCATTCTCCCGCTTTCCATCACCCCGCCCCATTCTCCCGCTTTCAATCACCCCGCCCCATTCTCCCGCTTTCTATCACCACGCCCCATTCTCCCACTTTCCATCACCCCGTCCCATTCTTCCGCTTTCCATCACCCCGCCCCATTATCCCGCTCTTCATCACCCCGCCCCATTCTCCCGCTTTCCATCACCCCGCCCCATTCTCCCGCTTTCCATCGCCCTGCCCCATTCTCCCGCTTTCCATCACCCCGCCACATTCTCCCTCCTTCCATCACCCCGCCCCATTCTCCCTCCTTCCATCACCCCGCCCCATTCTCCTGCTTTCCATCACCCCGCCCCATTCTCCCGCTTTCCATCATCCCGCCCCACTCTCCTGCTTTCCATCACCCCGCCCCGTTCTCCCGCTTTCCATCACCCCGCCCCAGTCTCCCGCTTTCCATCACCCCGCCCCATTCTCCCGCTTTTCCGTCACCCCGCCCCATTCTCCCGCTTTCCATCACCCCGCCCCATTCTCACGCTTTCCATCACCCCGCCCCATTCTCCCGCTTTCCATCGCCCCGCCCCATTCTCCCGCTTTCCATCACCCCGCCATTTTCTCCCTCCTTCCATAACCCCGCCCCATTCTCCCTCCTTCCATCACCCCGCCCCATTCTCCTGCTTTCCATCACCCCGCCCCATTCTCCCGCTTTCCATCATCCCGCCCCACTCTCCTGCTTTCCATCACCCCGCCCCGTTCTCCCGCTTTCCATCACCCCGCCCCAGTCTCCCGCTTCCCATCACCCCGCCCCGTTCTCCCGCTTTTCCGTCACCCCGCCCCATTCTCCCGCTTTCCATCACCCCGCCCCAGTCTCCCACTTTCCATCACCCCGCCCCATTCTCCCGCTTTCCATCACCCCACCCCATTCTCCCGCTTTCCATCACCCCGCCCCATTCTCCCGCTTTCCATCACCCCGCCCCATTCTCCCGCTTTCCATCACCCCACCCTATTCTCAGGCTTTCCATCACCCCGCCCCATTCTCCCGCTTTCCATCACCCCGCCCCGTTCTGCCTCCTTCCATCACCCCGCCCCGTTCTCCCTCCTTCCATCACCCCGCCCCGTTCTCCCGCTTTCCATCACCCCGCCTCGGTCTCCCGCTTTCCATCACCCCGCCCCATTCTCCCACATTCCATCACCCCGCCCCATTCTCCCGCTTTCTATCACCCGCCCCATTCTCCCGCTTTATATCACCCCGCCTTATTCTCCCGCTTTCAATCACCCCGCCCCATTCTCCCTCCTTCTGACACCCCCCCCCATTCTCCCTCCTTCTTTCACCCCTCCCCATTCTCCCGCTTTCCATCACCCCATCCCATTCTCCTGCATTCCATCACCCCGCCCCATTCTCCCTCCTTCCGTCACCCCGCCCCATTCTCCCACTTTCCATCACCCCGTCCCATTCTCCCGCTTTCCATCACCCCGCCCCGTTCTCCCTCCTTCCATCACCCCTCCCCATTCTCCCGCTTTCCATCACCCTGCCCCGTTCTCCCGCTTTCCATCACTCCGCCCCATTCTCCCGCATTCCATCACCCCGCCCTATTCTCACGCTTTCCATCACCCCGCCCCATTCTCCCGCTTTCCATCAGCCGCCCCATTCTCCCGCTTTCTATCACCCCGTCCCATTCTCCCGCTTTCCATCACCCCGCCCCATTCTCCCGCTTTCCATCACCCCGCCCCATTCTCCCGCTTTCCATCACCCCGCCCCATTCTCCCGCTTTCCATCACCCCGCCCCATTCTCCCGCTTTCCATCACCCCGCCCCATTCTCCCGCTTTCCATCACCCCGTCCTGTCAGAATATGTTGTTTGTGTAGCCTGTAGTGGGGCACTCAATAGTGAGTACAGCCCCTTAGGGTTTGCTATTTGTATCCTGCTGCTTGCTAGTTCAATCATCCCTTCTCAATTCTGTTCGTGCACACAATCGTAGCTCGTACTTGGCGCCTCCTCGTTCTAGTCCCACTGTGGCCTAGGCTACTAAGCCTAGGCCGTACTCCTCCTATATTTGACATGGTATGAGAGGGCGGCATGTCTGCCGCCTTCCTGTGTATGGGCCCACCACCTGCTTCCGCTGCCGCAGTGTCCTCCGCTCGCCCCGTGGTGCGCGGCGGCGAAACCCTAATTTCTGCCCGACGCGCGCTCGGGGCGCCTGGAGGTTTTCCCTTCCGTGGCCCCCGGCGTGGTGCCCTTGGGGGGGGCTCCGCGGTCCCCTCCCGTCGAAGCGCCCGTCGAGGCGCTCTCGGGGAACCGCGCGGCCTCCCCTCCCGTCGCCCGTCAAGGCGACCTCGGGGACCCGCGCGGCCTCCCCTCCCGTCGCCCGTCGAGGCGACCTTGGGGGCCCGCGCGGCCTCCCCACCAGTCGCCCGTCGTGGCGACCACGGGGGCCGCGCGCGGTCCCCTCCCGTCGCCCGTCAAGGCGACTTTGGGGGGCCCGCGCGGCGCCCTCCCCGTCGCCCGTCGAGGCGACTTCGGAGGGCCCGCGCGGCGCCCTCCCCGTCGCCCGTCGAGGCGGCTCTGGGGGCCCGTCGCGGCGCCCTCCCTGGTGCCCGTCGCGGCGCCCCAGAGGGGGGCCACGCGGCTCCCTTCTCGTCGCCCCTCGGGGCGCCCTGGAGGCCGTGCGTTTCCCCTCCCCCCCCCTCCTCCTACCTTTCACCTGCAGCGGCCGCCCCTGGAGTTGCCCGCCACTGCAGCAGCCGCCCCTGGAGCAGCCCGCATCTGCAGCAGCCGCCCTTGGAGCAGCCCGCACCTGCACCAGCTGCCCCTGGAGCAGCCCGTGCCTGGAGCAGCCGCCCTAGGACCCGCGCGAGCCGCCCCTGCGGAAGCCCGTCCCGTCCCCGTGCTGCCCATTGTTCCCATTCCGCTGTGCGTTCCGCGGTGGTGGGGGTGTGGGGTGGCAAGCATGGGGGTGAGAGGTGTGGGTTCTCCCCTCCTCCTTTTTCTTCTCCCACTGCTGCAGCTGCCGCTTAGGGGGGTGGAGGTGTGGGAGCTGTGGGGAGTGGAGCTAGGGGGGTGATGTGGGAGTGGAGCTAGGTGTGAAACTGGGGGTGTGTGTAGGGGGGTGTGGGACAGTTGGGGGAGGTTGAGTGGAGGCAGCCGTCTTGTCGTCCGCAGCACCTGTAGTCCAGGGCGCTGTCCTGGTAGCCCAGAGAGCCTGCTGCGCCTGTCGCCCGTGGGTCCGTTGCTCCTGTAGCTCCTCGTAGCCCGTGAGCCAGTTACTCCAGTAGTCCGGGGCGCTGTCCCGGTAGCCACTGTGCCAGCCGCTCCTGTTGCCCGTGTGTCTGCAGCTTCAGCCGTCGTCTCCCATCTTCTCTCCTCTCACAGTCCCTCCTCCTCACTTGCCTGCTGTGACTACCACTAGCTTTGCTCATAATTGTGAACTACTGCTATGCTTGCTCATTGTGCTGATTACACCCCACTTTGGCAATGGGGGTGTGTCAGAATATGTTGTTTGTGTAGCCTGCAGTGGGGCACTCAATAGTGAGTACAGCCCCTTAGGGTTTGCTATTTGTATCCTGCTGCTTGCTAATTCAATCATCCCTTCTCAATTCTGTTCGTGCACACAAACTTAGCCCGTACTTGGCGCCTCCTCGTTCTAGTCCTACTGTGGCCTAGGCTACTAAGCCTAGGCCGTACTCCTCCTATATTTGACACGTCCCATTCTCCCTCTTTCCATCACCCCGCCCCTTTCTCCCTCCTTCCATCTCCCCACCCCATTCTCCCTCCTTCCATCACCCTGCCCCATTCTCCCTCCTTCCATCACCCTGCCCCATTCCCCCGCTTTCCATCATCCCGCCCCACTCTCCCGCTTTCCATCACCCCGCCCCATTCTCCCGCTTTCCATCACCCCGCCCCATTCTCCCGCTTTCCATCACCCCGCCCCATTCTCCCGCTTTCCATCACCCCGCCCCATATGCAACAACATTTAGGTCCTTCGATGGTTTTCACTACCCCTATAGGGATCCATACGCTTCGTTACCATTTGTAGGCAGAGACAGCCGTCATCGCAGGTGCCGAACTTTTCGGTGCCCACGAACCAAGCTGTAATTGCTCTGGTAGGTGTATTTAGACGGCCACTCGAATATGCAACAACATTCAAGTCTTTCGATGTTTTTCCTTACGCCTAAAGGGATCCATGCGCTTCGTTAGCATTTGTCGGCAGACACTGCCGTCATCGCAAGCGCCGAACTTTTCTGTGCGCACGAACCAAGCTGAAATTGTTATGGTATGTGTATTTGAACATGGGCCACCCGAATATGCAACAACATTCAGGAGCAGTTTCGTTTCGTACCGTAATACCCCGGGTATAAGCGCACCTGCGCTTATAATAAAACAGTGTTTTTTTGGGGGGGTGCGCTTATAATTGAGTCAGATTTATAAGCGCATGCGCTTATATAATAACAAATGCAAATTTATAATTCATTGGCACCAAACTGTACATCTCCTTCTTGTGATTTCAATCGAATCGAAGTGGTAGCGAGTCGCAATTCAGATTCGCGCGTGAGCGATTTTCTGCCGGCGCACAGGGGAAAATTTACACGTCACTATCAGAAATGCCAGCTCATACTGACTGGACGCGCAGTATGTGAGGTCCTCGAAAGACAATCGAAGCGAAAATAGTTGTATCCTCACTGCAAAATTTGAAATCGCTACCGTTTTAATCTGGTTTAAATTTTAGAATTATACGTGCGCTTATAATAAATCAAGGTTTTACAGGGGGTGCGCTTATAAATGAGGATCGGCCATAAGCGCATTGCTCCAGATACAAGCGCATGCGCTTATAATAGGCCTGCGCTTATATCCGGGGCCATACGGTAGCTGCGTTTACTACTCTCATAGATTCTCGATTTCACATTCTCTAGTACCGCAGGCACTGCAGGCAATCTCATGCACACAGATTTTTATACGATGTAGAGTACAGCCAACAGCATATGTACGGCATTGTTGTGGAAGTGACGCAATGAGGAAAGTAGCCTCTTTTCTTTTTAGCCTGTAGTAGTCTCTGCTTCATGCAACCATGACTGTGGCAGTTCCCAGCTCTCATGCCATGTAATGACTGCATGGGTCACAGCACCACCCCTTACTGCAACTTGCTGAGAAGCCATCCCCTTATCCTTCAGCCGGCCCCATACTGTGGGTGTGCTGCCATTGCCCAGCAGGTGCAGGGGCAGCCACACATAGCGTGAGTCAGCGAGGTCGTGCTTGTTCCACCGGTCTGCTAAAAACACAAACACGCCGGGCGGGGCGTTGGGCAGCGGCAGCACAAACGTGCCCTGCGACTCGAACGTGCTGCTGCATGAGGGCGCCCATGCACCAGGCGCCGACTCGCCCTGCCACGGCCACCTTTGCTGCTGCTGCTGGTGCTGGTGCTGGTGGTGGTGGTTGGAGCATGGTGCGCCCAACAGGCGCCACTCACCCATCATGTGCGACGCCACATGCACCTCAGCCTCATTGGGGTCCCACCCTGTGCATGCTGATGTCACCAGGAAGTAATGCTGCCGTAGACAAAAAGCCACAGGCAAGGAGGAGAAGCAGGAGCGGTGGGGACATACACATGAAGGCATGCCATGCCATGCCATCCCATGCCATGCAATGCAATGCAGCCACAGGGGCGCCGGACAGCAGCGCACATGCGAGTGAGAGGGCACTGACTTGTTGATACTTGAAGATGGCGGGCGCCTCCCTGGAGCGCCCCACAAAGCGCCGCACAAAGCCACCGTCGACGTCAAGGTAGTCGGGGGTGAGGCGTGCAATGTGCAGCACGGCGTTCATCTCACTGGCGTACACCACGTACGCCACCCCGTCCTCGTCCCCAAACACCGTCATGTCCCGACTCTCCTGCCCGTTCGGCCGGAACCTGCCCACGTACTGCCCACACACGACGCATCAGCACACCCCACCACACATGCTCCATGTCGCTTGCACGTATGGACAATAGGAGTGAATGGGCCTACAGCAAAAGGACAAGAAAAAGCTGAGTGGGGAAAGATTTCGAAGGGCGGGCGAGGAATGCAAGAAAGGCCGAAGGGGTGCGGTTGGAAACAGCAGGGCGAGCGAGGTACCGTGAAGGGGCCGTGCGGATGGGAGCTGACGGCGACGCCTGTGCTGGCGAGGTGGTAGGCGGCGTCGTCGACGTGCAGCCACATGACATAGCGGCGCGAGGGCGCGTGGAAGAGCACCTTGGGGCGCTCCATCACGCGGCTCACGTGCAGGTCGCTGGCGGGGTCGTGCGTGTTGGGCGCCAGCACCACCCCGTGCGCCTGCCAGTGCAGCAGGTCCGACGAGCTGTAGCAGCTGATGCCCACCACGTCCACCTGCTCTGCTCCAACGGTCGCACGGAGGGGGGGGGAGAGAGCAAGGGCGGGCAGGGCGGAAGGGAGGAGGGCAGGAGAGGGAGGGAGTGATAGTGGGGCAGAATGGCATTGTGCGGCAGGTGATGATGGTGAAGGCACTGACGCCAAGGGGGTGGGCGGCCGAACTGGAGGGCCACGCCACTGGCGCCATGGCGCACTGCCTTCCCCTTGGTGCTGCCCATGCAAGGCTCTGGATGCCATGGCATGTCGTGCTGCGCCATGTGCAGCAGCCACATGCGGGGGGGAGTGCCATTGGTACTACTGGCGCGCGCGTGTGTGCGTCAGGGCGCTTCTCACCCGTTCCAGCGAGCCTTTGAGCGAGTACGTGTCGCCCTCCTTGTTCTCGCCGTACCAGTAGTACCGCCGCTCGCTCGCCACGTACAGCACGCCCCCGCCGTGCGCCTGGATGCGCCGCCCCTCCTCATCCAACCACACCCGCCCCGGCCACAGCCGCCCCCCTTCCCCCTGAAACGGACGCCCGCGCGGCCACAGCTGCCTCCGCCGCGCGCCCGCCTGCCATCCCTGCGATGCCTGCGCGACCTCGCCTTCCCCCTCCGATTGCCCCCGCCATGCCCGCCGCGCCCAGCTCACCGCTCCGCGTGCGGCAATGCCCGCGGCCAGTGGGGATGTGTGGAGGATGTCGGAATGAGTAGAGGCGGAGAGGCGCGGGGGGAAGAGAGGCGTGGGGGAGTGGAGCAGCAGGAGCGCGGAGAGCGAGAGCGCTACGAAGGAGAGGGCCGCGGCGAAAGTGCAGCGGCGCAGCGCGGAGTGGCGGTCGGGGAACGGGAGGCGCGTGCGGCGACGAGATGGAGGCATCGCGCGCAAGGTGGCGGGCGCAAGGTGGTGCGCGCAAGGGACGCACGCACGGGCGCAAGGGACTGCGCAAGGGACGGGCGCAACGGAGAAGTGGTGCGGGGACAGAAGTGATGATCGCGAATTGTGTGACGACAGCGACTGACAGCGAGACGGCCAGCAGATTGAGATTCGCTGTGGCTGGACATGTGCTGGTTCGCCTGGCTTGACTGTGCTCTTTACAGGTAAACTCGATGTACTGGTGAAAACAACCTGGCTTGTAATGTAGTCGTTGTAAAATCCGTCACATAGTTATCATTCCGTTCACTCCATGTTTGTCATTCACAAATTACTTATGATCGTTACTGCATCGAAACGAGTGAGCACATAACGAAGTGTGTAGAAAGTCCACTTCAGAGCAGCTGATAGTCGTCTTCCCCTTACCCTCCGTGCGTGCCGTTCCTTCACTCGCCTCTCCCTGTTGCCTCTCCCTGTCTCGCTGCCATACTCGTCCCGCGCCACATGGAAGCACCCGGCATGCGCCGTGTGCTGCGCGCGGCGTGGGATCAACTCGCCCATGCCGCCGCGCCTCCGCGCACACGCACACAAGCGCAACCCGCGCGGATGTACCTTGTTCCGTGCCACACGCCTGCCGCGTTGCCGCGCGGCTCCGCACCGTCATCGTCACCGTCACCGTCACCATCATCACTCCCTGCTGCTCGCGCGTTGCTTGCATGGGGCGCTTGGCGGATCAGCGGCGAGGGGAGCGGGCAGGTGGAGGCGCGCGGGACAGTGGCGGGACGAGCAGTGGCGGATGGCGGCAGCGCGGAGGGGTGCGGCGTGGGGCATGACGTGCGGTGGCGAGGCGTGCGGCAAGGCGGCGGCGACGAGGCGTGGGCGCGCAGCAGGCAGTGGAGAGTGGGGGGAGGGGCCGTGATGGACGCACACGTGTGGCCCGCGCAAGGCGTGCGATCGTCGCACACTGACGCCGTACTCACTCGCCCTCACCTACTCTTTCCCGCCTGACCTCTCCATTGCCTCGCTCCATCCGTCCGTCCGTCCGTCCGTCCGTCCGTCCGTCCGTCCGTCCGTCCGTCCGTCCGTCCGTCCGTCCGTCCGTCCGTCCGTCCGTCCGTCCGTCCGTCCGTCCGTCCGTCCGTCCGTCCGTCTGTCCCTCCATCCATCCATCCATCCATCCATCCATCCATCCATCCATCCATCCATCCATCCATCCATCCATCCATCCATCCATCCATCCATCCATCCATCCATCCATCCATCCATCCATCCATCCATCCATCCATCCATCCATCCATCCATCCATCCATCCATCCATCCATCCATCCATCCATCCATCCATCCACTCTCCTCCCGTTCGTCCACGCTTTTACTTTGCGTCATGTGACCTCTTTCTCCTCCCTCGCGCTGTCGCTCGCTGCCTCTGCTCATGTAGGTTGTGCAGTGCACGGCAGCCCGCACCTCAACGCTCCCCGCCCTCTACCTGTGTGTGCAGGCGCCCGCATCTCGCCCCTCCTCCTGGCTCCCTCCCCGCCTGCTCTCCGTGATCCCTGCACCGTGGCAGGAGCTGCTGGAACATCCACGTACCGCACTGCACCGCATTGCATGGCAGTACAGGGATGCAGCAGGTATGAGTGCCATGGGCAGCAGCTCGCAAGCAAACCACTTGCTGCTGCCACTGTCCTTCTGTACCTTCCTCTGCCATGTGTTGTGCGCACTTCCCCTCGCATCCCCTGCACCGCCTTCACCTCGTGCCATGGCCACGTGCCCCTCTTCCCCCGCCCGCCTGAGCAGCATTGCAGGTGGAGGCGTTTTGGCGCAACCACTCGCTGCTGCTGCTGTCCGCTGGGGGCGTGTCCCTGTCGCTGCTGCTCTGGGGCTGCTCCTTCCGCCTCGCCTCGCTCTTCCTCACCATGCCGCCCAGCTCCCTCGGCCTGCCCTACCTGCTTGCCTCCTGCACTGCCGTCGCTGCTCTGGTACGCCTCACCTCACTCCCTTGCTGCACCACCACCCCCACCATCCCCATCCACCACGCCCGTCCTTGCCTCTCCCACCTGTCCACATCCCTCGCAGTCCTCCGCACTCTCCCTTCCCCTCATTCTCCACTCTCCCGCCCCCCTCGTCCCCCCCTCCTCAAGCACAGGGCGGGGCAGTGCGGGCGCACACGAGCATGAGTCCAGCAGCGGCATACCGCATGGCCATGTGCGCCCTCAACACGCATGCGGGTGTGCTGGAAGTGCTGGGAGCACCGCTGCTGGGAGCGCCTATGAGGGCGTACGTGCAGGGGGGCGGGGGCATAGTGCTGTCGGGCATGGCTGTGCGTGCTGCCCCGCGGGACTGCTGGCTGGTGTTCCCTGTGCGCGGTGCAGAGGGGCGTGGTGTGGTGCAAGTGCACGTGCACCGCCACAACGGGCAGGTCAGCTGCCGTGCCCTGCTAGCGCCATGCCCACACACCACATCAACCGCTGCCTACCCGTCATATCCGCCCCAATTCCACTTGTTGCTCATTGCCACGTAGCTCATGTGTGACTCGCGCTGCTCATCCCCCATGCGCTTTCCTCTGTTCAACCTTGGCATCTGTGTGTGCGTGTGTGCAGTACGACCTGCGGCTGGTGGCGGTGGATGTGGCAGCCGGCAGTGCAGGCAGCGAGTGCGTGGTGGTGGTGGGCGACCATGCTGCTCTCTCCCGTGCACAGCCCTTGCTGCAAGGGCTCAGGCACGCACTGGACAATGTGCAAGGCGGGCGAGCAGGGGCAGAGAAGAGGGCTGTGGAGAACGCCCAGCAAGAACAAGGCTGATGGAGTTGAGTTGAGCACACAGGCATGGTGGATGTCAACAACTCTAGGGCACCTGCTGCTTGGAATGTGTGTCAAAATAGGTCAAGTTGTACACTACAATAGCTTACTACACAAGCAAGACTCCTTGATGGGCCACCTGACTGTGGTCGCTTATTTGCAGACACATGCCACTGATAGCGCATGGCTTGCATGAGCAGTGGCACATAACGATCCAAATAGAAGAGGGCCCACTACTTGAGCACTCTGCACCTACCCTACCTTGCGTTGCATTGACATTCCACCTCTACACCCCCCCACTGCAAACGGGTGAACACAGCACTGGCAAGGCCCTGCAAATGGTGCTGCCTCCATGCACGCACGCCGCTGACCCCCCCTAGCAGCAAGCACTGTGTGGTTCCCTATCCTCAGTCTGCGCTCTGTAGCCGTACGTGCTCAGCTGGGCCATTTTTTCTTAGCAGGGATGCTGTGAGCGCCTTGCAGCTGCATCATGGTTGAAAGCAGAGCAGGTGCCATGTGGTGGGAGAAGGACATGTGACAGACAGGCTGGCGGAGTGGCAGAGGGTTACAGAGCAGGAAGGAGGAGAAACAGGGAACTGGTGTGGAGGGTGAATACGGAGGGAAGGAACAGGACGCAGGAGTGAGGTGAGGGTGGGAGGTGGGCGTGTGGGGACAGGCGGTGCAGTGCCGGCAGTGCCAGCAGCACGTGGCCTACAGCCCATTGGGGTGAAGGGGGCCGGGTGGAGTGAGAGATGGGGGGTGTGTGTGTGGGGCGGTGTGGGGGTGTGTGTGTGGGGCGGTGTGGGGGTGTGTGTGTGGGGCGGTGTGGGGGTGTGTGTGTGGGGCGGTGTGGGGGTGTGTGTGTGGGGCGGTGTGTGGGTGCAGTGAGAGGTGCTGCATGCCGCCACTCATGTGGCACAGCAGCATGTCCATCAGCCCCTCGCTCTCCGCTGCCTGCTCCGCATCCACCTCCCCCGCCCCCACTCCGCCCCCGCCCGCCCCCCCTGTGTCCTCCAGCCCGTGCTTCCACCATGCATCCACCCCCCCATCGCCCACCACACCCGCCTCCACACCCGCATCTGAGGGAAAGAGGGCCGGCCACTCACACACCCTCCCACCATCACACACATCCGCGCCCTCATACGCGCCGTTTGCACCCCCGCAAGCGCCGCTGCCGTTGCCACTCCACACCACTCCGCCCTTGCCCCTCGTACCCTCTGCCTGCGCATCCGCGCCCTTCCTGCTCACACCCTCTCCTCCCACCACCCCGCCACTGTCTGCCACGTCAGACTCCTCCGCCTCCCACTTGCAAGCAGCAGAGCCATTGCCGTGCTCCCCTCCCGGGCCCCCATCATCCCTGAGGAACATGCCCACCTCCTCCCACTGCTCCTGCTTCACCACCGCCCCTCCCTGCCCCACTGCCCACTCGCCTCCACTCGTGCCCCCCGACACGCCCCCACCACCCATCCCCTGCCCCCCCTCCGCCTCTCCCCCATTGCCTGCGCCCTCGTGGCTCCCCTCGCCCCCACTGGGTGCAGGGCGCCCTGCAGCGGGCGCGTAGGAAGGTGCGGGGAAGCCAACCAGGTGCTCTGGGGTGAGCTGCAGGGGGGAAGGAAGTGGAGAGGAGGGGCAGGAGGGACATGGAAGAAGGGGGGTAGGAAGAGAAAGCGGGAGTGGGAAAGAGTGAACGCGAGGAGTATGCGTGTTGAGGAACGAGGAAGAGGGGCGGGGAAAAGGGGAGGAAGGGGAGGATTGTTTTATGGGGCGGGAGTCGATGTATGGCAACAAGGTATCTAGTGACCTGATTGGAATTAAAATTATGCATGACATTGTCACGAGGACTGGTGCGATGACACGGCATGGTGTGAGGGGGGCTGGCAGCACCTGGAAGAGGTCAGCGTCGGGCAGCAGGTCATCCCCAGGCATGAGGTCGTACTCCATGGCTGACAGCTTGCTCGATAGCAGCTGCCACCCCATGCACGCACACAGGGCGGGCGGGGGAGATCGGACGGGATATGCAGGAAGTGTACATGATAGGTGTGGGCTGGCGTAATGGGGGTGAGGGACCACCTCATACATGTGTCACTGCTGCATGCATACTCAGTTGGTGCATGGAGGTAAAGGGGGGAGCAGGTGAAAGCAGGGCGCCAAGGTAGTGTGCAGTGGTGTGTGGTGCATGTGTCTCTCTCACCTCGACCTGCAGCTGCAGTGAGCGCACATAGTTGATGATCTCGTCCAGTATCATGGCCTTGCCCGTCACCTGCATGAGCACATGCACACGCCACCACACATGCACGCGCACCCGCACACGCACACACGCGCGCACGCACACATGCAAGCACACACACACACACACACACACACACACACACACACACACACACACACACACACACACACACACACACACACACACACGCACGCACTCACACACGCACACAAAGATGAGTTAGCCCAAGTGTGGACGCCCTCTGCAGCCAATCGTTGCTTCACCTGGTGCAGCACAGCACGCCATATGCTCTGCACTCTCATCCTCACTTGCAGCCCTGCACTGAACCCTTAACCTGCAACCGACACCACACTCCCCCACCCCCCCTTCTCCCAGCTGCGCGCTCACCTTAGCGCACGTGGGCACAAGGCTCTGCAGCACACTCATGCGCTCCGATATCTTCTCCCTCCGCACCTGGTGCCACACGCTCTCACCCACACGGGAGGGGTGGCCCAGGCGGGCACACACAGGGCAACGAGGGCAGGGAGATGCAGGTGCAGGAGGGGTTCAGAGGGAACACACGAGGAGAGAATATGAAGACAGAACACGCGGCAGGGGTACCGTGTATGCATGCTGTGCATATTGGTCGCATAAGAAATCATCAGCACGCACGGCATGGCACAGCACGGCACGGCACAGCACAGCACGGCACGGCACAGCACAGCACGGCACGGCACAGCACAGCAGAGCAGGGCAAGGCAGTGCATGAGGGCATCTCACCCGCTCGGCAATGCTATGGCTGTCCGTGGCCTGCCCTCTCCTCGCTCGACCATGCCCCACTCCCGCTCCCCCACCCTTCCCCTCCCTGCCCCCCCCCCTCACCCCTTCTCTCCCACTGCTCCTTCCCTCCTCACCACTCCACGCCTCCTCTCCCCCCCAGCTACCCTGCCTTTCCATGCCCATGCCCATGCTCTGCTCTGCCCCAATGGCGCTCCCACACTCCCCGTCCTCCCCCTCGCTCTCCTGCTTGCACCACTGCCCCTGCCCGCCCCCACCACCAGCACTGCCGGCAGCAGCGGCGGCGGTGGCGGCGGTAGCGGGAGCAGCATGTGAGGCGGAGAAGGGGGCGGCAGCAGCAGAAAAGGTGGAGGTCGATGGCTGCACGTGGGGCATGGTGGGCGGGCGACGGGTGAGAGGTAGGGGGAGAGGCGTGAGGGGCGAGCAGTGAGGGAGGTGCATGTGCTGCTGAGCATCGCACCACCCGGGGCGCTGCCCTGGTGCCCGTGGGTGGGTGCTGCGTGTGGTAAGTGCGAGGAGTGCAAAGGTTAGGAAAAACTGAGGGGATGCGCAGGCAGACATTCGATGGGAGCCGAGACAAATAGAGGCCGGTGCAAGAGAGGGAAACGCGAGGTGGTAATAAAGAGGTGAGGAAGTTGGGAGGGGTTCAGGGTTGAAGGGGGAGAGGGGGGATATGGGGAAGGGGAGAAAGGGGTGGGGATTGGAGCATGGGTGGGTGAGCCGGGTGAGCGGGTGCACACACCTGGGCATGCGGCCATGGCACGGTGCCGTGCGTGTCAGCCGGCAGTCGACGTCGCTTGCGACATGCCATGGCCTCGTCAGCACCCACTGCATGCCCCATACACACACACACACACACACACACACACGCACGCAGGCACGCACACACACACACACACACACACACACACACACACGCACACACACACACACACACACACATACGGCAGTGGTGGCGCGGTGGGGGGGGAAGAGGAAGAGGAAGGAGGGTGAGACTGTGTGGAACATGTGCATGGGGGGCAGCAGTGCCATGGGGCAACAGGATTCTCTTGTGAATGGGGCAGAGTGTAGGCACATGCGTGGGGCGAAAGCGACTGGCTGTGCATCAGAGTGCTTCCACCCACAACAGGCCAGTGACAGTCTTGCTACCGTCAACAGCGTGCCTACCATCCACAGCCTGAGCGCGGTGCACCGAGGGCGGGCAGCTATTGGTGCGAGTCAGCTGCCTCACTCCCCTTCCCAGCAGTTTCCTCCGCGCCTGCTCCCTCTCCCTCTCCTCCCAATCTTCCCCCTCCTCCTCCACACTCAACCGCTCTCCCCCACTGCTCTGCCCTGCCGTCGCCTCCCCTACCCCCTCTGCTGCTGCCTCCCCTCCCCCCTCCCCGCTACCGTCCAATGCTTGCCACACCACGTTCCACGCCGCGCCCTCCACTCCCTCCGCCCTCCCCCTCTCCCTGCCCACACTCGAAGCCTTCAGCAGTCTGCGTCCCCCCCCACCTCTGCTTCCCCCTCCCCTCACAGCGCCTCTCATGTTACTGTCTACCCCCATCCCTGATTCTTCAACCGCCATCACCCCCTGCTGCGCGCCCGCTGCTCCCCCCTCCGATCCCCCCTGCGACTGCGCCTGCAGCTGCTGCTGCACCGCCCGCCAAATGCCCTCCATCTCCCCCGCCAGTGCCCCACCCTCAACCCCCCCGCTAACGGCTTTCCCCCCTGCTCTGCCCTGCCCCACCGCCCGCCTACCCGCGCCCATCCCCGCGCCCCCCTGCTCGAGCGCGGCGGCAATGGAGCTCGCTGCTGCCGCCACTGCCGCCGCTGCCTCCGCCACTGCGCTCTCGTGCGCCCCCCGCTCCCGCGCCCCCGCTCTTTCACCACCCGCTTCCCAAGACGAGCACAATTGTTGGGGGGGATGAGGGGGGAGGTTGGGAGGATGGGGGAGTGGCGGAGGGGTCGGCGCGGAGGGTAAGGCGAGCGGGGAGAGGAGCGAGGCGGTCAAGGAGGAGGTGCGGCGGGGGGCGAGGGAGGAGAGTGGGGAGGGCGCGGGGGGGCGACCGCGGCATAGGCGCGAGAGGAAAGGCGAGTCGGCGAGAGGGTTGCCTGGCGCGAGGAGAGGGGAAGGGGGAGGTGTGAGGACAGGGGGTGGGAGAGCAGGGAGGACAAATTAGGAGGCGGCAGCGTGGTGCACACGGCATTGCGTGCACACGCGCGCATGCGCAGACGTGGCTCGTGATAGGCAAGGGAGCGCAAATGAGAGCACACCAGAGCACAGAATCGCACGACGTACCTCGGCTGGAGCTTGCACTTGCGCCTTTGTCCCTGCGCGCCTTGCTCGCCTCGCCATTACCGCCCGCTTCTCCACCAACCCCTACGCCATGCGCCGCTGCCAGCGCCGCGGCGGTTCCAGTCGTGGTCCATCCCAAGCCCTGCACGCCCGCGCCATTCCCGCCGCCGCCCTCCGCTCCCCTTATCGTCACCACCTGCGCGCGCTCCACGTCCAGGCTCCGCGTGCGCCTCAGCTCCGCGCTGCTCTCTCCGCCACCCGCCAGCCGCGCCTGCCGCCGCGCGTACAGCGAAGATTGCGCCTGCCGCGTGCTTACCGCGGACCCGGCGACTGGCGGAGCGCAATGCGATGCGCCGGGCGACGAGACCGCGGGTGCTGGTTGCGGCAAGTGCGGCGCAGCTGCGCTGCTCGGCGCGCAGTCGAAATCCATAGCGCCCGCGCCATTGGCGGACTGCGAATCCGCCTCGGCGGCGGGATTAGCGGCGCCCATGGCGGTTGAGTGAGCGCCTCGCAGCAGCTCCTGAAACTCGCCGCGGCGTCTCAATCTCCTCGCGCCTCCGCTGTCGCTCAGCCTCCCCCTTTCTTCCCTCCCGCTCCCTTTTTCCTGCTTCCGCGCCTTGGTGTGGCTGCTTGATGGATGCCGCAAGCGCGGAAGCGGAGCGCAATGCGCGCACGCGCTGTGTGAAGTGACGGGTTCTTGCTCAAGGCGCGACAATAGCTGTCAATTGGCAGTGATGTGGCATGGGTGACACTAGCGAGTGGAAAAAGCAGATACAGTACTGGCTAGACAACTCGCACATATGTTGAGTGAACACCCATGGATTCCCTCGTCTGGTCAGGTGTGGTCTGTCGTGTGAGGAACAAGGAGAGAAGAGAACATGGTTGTCGCACAGGCCGAGCAGTGTGCGAGCCACCCCCTCTTGCTCCCCCCAACCAATCCACCCACCCACCCCACCTACCACCCGCCCTGGCCCCCTCCAACCAACCACACGCCGCCGTTACTGCCCTCACCTTGCCTCACTGCCCGCGACAGCACACACTTGCACACGAGACCAGCTCCGCGTCCGCGATCTACAAAATGTTGGGTGGACAAATTCGATAAACGCTGTACTGATTTCATCAGAAAGGTGTTACCTTTATTGGTGTGCTTATCTGTGCTGTGAGTGTATGATTTCTTAGGGAAACTATATTCCATGTCCATACTTTCAGATTTCTCTCAAAATTAGCCCCAGGCTTACTCCAAAAGTACCACTTTCTAGAATTTCGCTCACGCGAGGCCCAAAGTAAGTTCAAAACTGGTCCTGCGGGGCGAATTTTTCGACACGTGTCTGATCTCGCTTGGAAAAATTTTCGACGGGGCAAAAAATAATAAAACCCCTCGGGAACTAGGGCACATTTGCGGGAGGGATCAACCCTAAACACCAAGCGGGTCCTCGTGTTTAGGGTTGGTCCCTCCCGAACGTGTGTCCTGGTCCCCTAGGGGTTTTATGTTTTTTGCCCCCGTCAGAAATTGCTAATACGAAATAGGACACGTGTCGAATATTTTGTCCCGCAGGCCAGTTTTGAACATAATCTGGGCCTCGCGTGAGCAAACTTCTAGAAAGCTGTACTTTTTGAGTGAACTTACGACTAAATTTGAGACATTTTTGAAACTATGGAGCTGGGATATACTCTCCCGATTTCTTAAGACTCTCTCCTTGTAACGTGGCAAGGTGTACACGTATATGGAACAAGTTTTAATGCAATCACATTTGTTATATGGGCTTCTAACTAGCCCAAACACCAGTCACACAATTCGTGTGGTCTTCTTTTAGGTCATTGCTCGCGTCAGATTGCCGACTGACAGTCTGGTCTGGACCGTATTACAGTAGTCATACTCCGTGCTCACAACCAGCGGCTTGCAATCTGAGCCGCCGGCTCTACGAGGTAGATCGAGCACGCGTGCGGGCGGCCAAATGGTGCTCGCCGGGATTTAGGAGGCCCGAGCAGCTCTTCGGAAGTGCACCGCGCGTGTCGTCGGTGTCGGGTGCGCGTGGTGGTTAGCAGCGCGTGCGTGCTAACAGTGCGAAGCTTGCAGCATCTGCCCGCGGTAAGCCGACCAACGGTCATCAAAGCTGCGCCCATTGGCGGCAATTGCTTACACGTAGGGCACGCACAGGACCCTGGTATCGTGGTGCGTGGGGAGTGAAGTGGCGCAAATCAGCGGCGCGACATGCCCTAGTGCCCGCAGTGCGTCGCCCCGGCTAGCGGTCGGCTTAGGGTGTCACCGCTACCAGTGCCCTTGCGTTACCAATTAATCACCGCTGCGTCGTGTGTCACCGCGCGCCGTCTCACCCGCCGTTAAAAATGCGTGGGTGCGTGTGACAGCAGCACAGGGTGGCCGTGGCATGGCCGTCATTCGCGGTCACGCCATTGGATCTCGCCACCACGGACCCCCCCTCACTATCACCCCCACTTGCCTCGCACTCTCCCCTCACTCCGCCCAGATATATACGCGCCCTCCCTGCACTTCTTCCCTCCCCGCCCCATCCTCGTCGCGCAGTGTTGTTTTCAGCATGGCGCAGGACACCCCTAGCGGGGCTCCTAGCGGGGCTGGCGAGGAGCAAGGCGAGCGCGCGGGGGAGGGGAAGGGCACGCACGCGCGGATGGGCGCGGACGGGTGCTTCGTGCTGCGCACGGGCGCGTCGATGCCCGCCATCGGGCTGGGCACGTGGCTGGAGGGCGACGGCGGCGAGCAGACGCAGGAGGCGGTGCGCGTGGCGCTGCAGTGCGGGTACCGCAGCATCGACTGCGCGCACCTGTACGGCACGGAGATGGCGGTGGGGCGCGCGCTGGCGGAGGCGTTCAGCGCGGGCGTGTGCACGCGGGACGACGTGTTCCTGGCGTCCAAGGTCTGGTGCACCACCTCCAACGCCAGCCGCGTCCTCCAGGTACGCCGCCCCCCCCCACCCCCACCCACGCTGCTGCCTGCCGCACACGCGTCACACGCGCGCCCCGACCGAGCTATACGCAACTTTATCTCCTTCCCTTGCCTCATTCTTCTTCCTAACACTCTCCTCCTACCCATCCCTCCCTGCACCCCCTTCCTCCCTCTTCCCCTCCCCTTCCCCTCGGCCCCCTCTCCCTCCCGGGGCAGGCGTGCGAGCGGGCGTTGAAGAACCTGTGCGTGGCGCAGCTGGACCTGTTCCTGCTCTCCTGGCCGCTCGCCTCGCCGCTCAACCGCACGCCCGCCGACGCCACGGACCCGCCCGTATCGTCCCCACGGCGCGGGCAGGTGTCGCTGAACGTGGCGGAGCTGTGGGCGGGCATGGAGCAGCTGGTGGCTAGCGGGCGCGTGAAGGCCATCGGCGTGGCCAACTTCAGCGCGCCCATGGTGCTGGACCTGCTGCAGCATGCCCACGTGCAACCCGCCGTCGTGCAGGTGCGCTGCTCTCACCCCTTGCCTGTGTCGCATGGCAGTATGAGATGTGAAGCGCACTCATTCAGGTGCATGCGGTACGATACCCGCCAGGTGGTATCATGATCAGCGGGTAGCAGTGGCACTGTGCGAGGTATTGCAGCGCAGATGAGGTGGGTGTGCCCGCTGCTTCACATCCACAGCAACTCTCAAATCTATCTGCCTGCGCCTGTGTGTGGTTCTGTGCGCCCTGGTGTGTCTGGCAGGCGGAGATCCATCCACTGTGGCGGCAGGAGCAGCTGCTGTCAGTGTGCCATGCGAATGGCATCCACGTGTCCGCACACACGCCACTGGGCACACCGGGGGTGGCACCGCTGGCACTGTCGTCACAGGAGCAGGCGGAGATGAACCTCTGGAGTGTGCCCGCCCCCGCTGGCAAGGGGCGCTCGCGCACCGTGCATGGGCCCATGCTGCGCCACTATGCCGTGCAGGACGTGGCTCAGCAGCATGGCAAGACACCCGCCCAGGTATGCCATGCCATGCCATGCCATGCCGTGTCTCTAGCAGCACAATGCACATACATGCGTAGTATGATGCGGGTTGTGAATTGGTCCCATCAAGCAGCCACCAAGCAATGCTAACATCACGTGAAAGTGTATGTAGGGGCGCACTGTCACACTGCATGCTGACCTGCACCACTTACCCACTCCCTTCCCACACCACTCCACACATGCACTTCCAGGTGATCCTGCGGTGGGCGCTGCAGCGTGGCACGAGTGTGCTGCCGGTGAGTGTGAGGGAGCAGCGCATCCGCTCCAACTACGACCTGCTCCACTGGTCGCTCACAGACGAGGAGTGGGATCGCATCAGTGCCATCGAGCCGCAGATCCCGCTGCTTGGTCCCTGCCTCGCCCCCGTCTCGTCGCTGCCCAACAGCACCAGCACCAGTGGCCGCCCTGAGACGTTCCAAGAAGAGGAGGAGGAGGTGGCTGGGGAGGAGGGCGATAAGGGCAAGGAGGGCCAGGGTTAATGGGTCAAAGGTTAGGGGGGTAACGGGTAATGGGTAGATGTAGAGGGGGCAGGTGTGGGGGGGAAAGGCGTGAGGGAGGAGGGAGAGGGGGAGGTGCAGAGAACAGGAGTCGAGGGAGTAGGTGCTGGCATGGGAGGCGTTGAAATGAGTTATGGTGAGATCAGGTCTTAGGAAAGGGCATCGGTGGACGATCAGTAGCAATAAATTAGCACTGAGTTTTGGATGCTTGTTTATTGTGCTAGGTTACTGTAGCATACCAGCATTGTCAGATGGTAATGCTGCAAATTCCATGTCTGCTTCTAGCCTTGTCCAATTTCCTGCTATCAATACTCTATTGGGAAGAAAGTGTGTTTTCCTGCTGCAGAGAATACACTTCCTGGAAATGCAGGTGTGGTACAGTACAGTATTACATCTTCAAGTACTACGCTAGTGTTATGTACATCTCCGCTTATTAAGCACCCAGCTCCTCCAAGCTACCAAAGGGTGCTTCAACTTTCAGGGTGTTTTGCAGCTGCCATGAGAAATGGCAGCTACACAAAACGTTGTGCCTAACGATTATTTCCTGCATAACCACAGACCTGCACTGGCCAGTTCTCTGCAGTGCCTACCACCCCCGCCACTTCGATATTCCACCACTCAATGCTCGCTCCTTCCACCAACCCAGCGTCTGCTGCTGCTGCTGCTGCTGCTGCTGCTGCTGCTGCTGCTGCTGCTACTGCTACTGCTACCTGCACGGCTCAAACTAGGTGTGCTCCTCACCAATACGCCATGGAGCTTCTCCTTCTCCCTCCCATTCGCCGCCATGCCTCTGCCCCTCATGCTGCTGCTGCTGGTTCCCCTGGTGGTGCTGCTGCTGATGCTGGTGATGGTGGTGGTGGTGGTGGTGCAGCTGGTGGGGGTGGTGGGGCAGGTTGTGGCCCATCTTGTGAGGCCACGCCACATCATCTTCCGCCAGGCACTCCCCCTCAACCGCGTCCCCTTCCTCCTCCAACCGCCCTCTCCCCTCCCTCCTCTCCTCGCCTATCTCATCTGCAAACCGCACGAAGCTCGTCCGCCGACTCCCCCGCCCCAACCCATCTCCCTCCTCCCCCTCGCCCTCCCTCACCTCCCCTTCCTCCTCCCTCCCCACCGCTGCCCTCGCATCCAGCCGTTCAAACATGCTGCCCCCGCCGCCCCCCTGCAGCAGCATGCGAGCAGCAGCACCCGCCAGCCCGCTGCTACTCCGGGGGAGCGAGAAGGACGAGGAGCGAGCGGCAGGCGGCACGTACCCACGACCACCAAACAGCGGGCGCATGTACGTGTCGTCTAACCATCGCCACAGGTCATGCAGGTCACGCTCGTGGGCGCTGAGGATGCGCGAGGCGAGGCGGGCATCGGGCATGGGGAGACCCGCCATGGAGGATGCGGGTAAACACACCACCATGTCGCCCTCCACGTGCCCCGCCGCCCCATGCGGGTACAGCAGCCGCGGCCGCGGGGGCGTAGCGCGCACCGGGGCAGAGGGCACGGCCGGTGCGGCGTCGGGGGCAGAGGGTGCGACGGGCAAAGAGGGCGCAGAGGACACGGAGGTGACGGGTGTGGAGGAAGAGAAGGGGCGCGAGCGAGAGGGGGGGAGGGAGGGCGAGGCAGCGAGGAAGAGAGTGGTAGAGGCTGGAGAGATGGGATGTGGGGGAAGGTACTTGGGCGAGGAGGGGCCCTCGCTGTAGTTGCTGGCACTGTGGTGGAGAGTGAAGGGCAGGAAGTAGTCGATGAGTGGACTCGTGAGCAGCCCAAACACCTGCCCAGGCCACACACGGAAGGAAGGGGGGGGTGGGGGTGTGGTTGGGGGTGCGGCTGTGGGGGTGGGTGGGCTGGGGGAGGAGGGAAGTGTTGTGCAGCTGAGGACCTGTGGTGAGAGGCGGGCATGGTGAATTGAGAGACAATGGGGGTAGAAGCAGTGCGTTCCAATGAGCAATGCCCGCGGTGCAGTGAGTGAGGTGCAGCAGTGAGCTCTGCGGGAAGGTGCAGAATCACTCACGAGAGTAGAGAAGAGAACGAGCGCTATGGTGGAGGCGATTAGCATGGCTGCCGTGGCCTCTCCCTCCTCTGAAAACTGCACATGCTCACAGGCACATATTCAACCATGCACACATGCACACAACACCACAGGAAACAGCACGAGCATGCTGTGATGTGCAACTGACGAAAAAGAGGAGCTGAGGAAGGATTGGCAAGTGAGTGGAGAGCAACAGGGCGACGAGCAAAGGCAGGAGCAGGTGGGGGTGGGCCGTACAGCAGAGTACGTGAGGGCGATGGAGACAGCCCCCCTCATGAGACCCGCCCACCAAATGACCACCTGCATGGCATGGGATGGCATGGCGTGGCTTGGCATGGCATGGCATGGCATGGCATGGCATGGCATGGCATGGAGCATGGATGGCATGGAATAAAAGGGCAGGGCAGGTAAGTGAAGGGCAGAGCAGCAGCACATGTTAACTGTGAAGGACAGGAGATGACAAGGCAAGGACAAGCACATGCGCTCATGGCACAGGCACACATGCCCGTGTGCCCCCTTCTTGGCAGCATGCTGCACTGCACCATGCTAGTGCGTGCAGAGACAGCTAGGGCAACAGCCACAGCACCAGCACGCGTGCCTGCCATTTGCTCTCTCTCCTTCCCTCCCCACCCAGTCACACCCCACAACCCTCCACTCTCGTCCTCCCCAACCCTGCCCCCTATCACACCTCTGTATGTACCACACCCAACCCTCCGCCCCCAACAACGCACTACCTCCTCTCTGGCCAAGCACGTTACCCCCCTACCCCAACCCCCCATCTTCCCCCGCGCCTCCCCAGGGCGCGCACCTGATGGGGGGTGCGCAGAGCGCGTGAGTTTTTGCGCTGCAGGTTGAGCAGGGCGGAGAGCGGGAACACAAACGCTGCCCGCCCCGCCAGCACCAGCCCCAGCAGCAGCGTGAACAGCACAAACGTGTCCCTGCCAGCCCCGCGCATGGGGAGGGGCGCACAGGGGAATGGCGGGGGGGTGGGAAACATGAGGAGAAAAGTGTTGGGTGGAAGCGCGGGTAAAAGGAGGTGAGGGCGGAGCATTGGCACGGGGTGGTGGAGGGGAGGGGGGCAGATTGGGGAGAGAAGCGTAGGAAAGACGTGGAGCGGGTGATGGGACGAGCTGGTGGAGGCGCGGCACACCTGACGTTGACGCTGGTCCACTTCTCCGAGTCCAGGGCGTCCATGCCCACGTACATGAAGATCACCGTCTCCGCTATGAACGACATCGTTGCAAACGCATGCCTGCACAATCCGGTCGTGTGGGGTGCACATGCACATGTGTGGGGCGAGGGAGGAGCACAAGGGGCGTGCAGAGACCACAGCCATGTGACCATGCACTCATGCATGCTGCAGTCACACCACCTTCCCAGTGCAGCACTACTCCCTCAGCCCGCTTCTTCCCTCCTCCCCAGAATCGCGAGCGTACTTGGTGGTGACGCGGGAGCTCTCAGTGACGTTGTGCCAGGTGTAGTGGCTCATGACGATGCCCGCGAAGAACACGGACAGGATGCCGCTCAGCCGCAGCACCTCTGCCAGGATGTACGACGCGTATGCCATCAGCGCCATCAGCGCTATCTCCCGGTCCGTCGCATGACTGCCCGTGCCACAGGGCACCGGGGAGGGGAGCGGGGGGTTTGGGCGTGGGGAGATGTGCGGGGATGGGAAGTGGAGGGGAGGAGTGGGGTGCTGAGTGGCTGAGATGATTGGTGTGGTGAGGATGGAAAGAGTGAGGCACGCCAGGAGATATCTGCAGTGATGCGATTAGTGGCTGGTGGCGCAGGAAACTACACACTGGCATGCGGGGAGGGGCTGGGGAGGAGCGCCGTGGCGGAGATTACCTGGAGAAGTAGAGCGTCTTCATGACGTATGCAGACAGCAGTCCTAGCTGCACGCACACGCACACACAAAGCAAGGCGGATAGACAGATACAGGCAGACAGGCAGGTGGGAAGAAGAGCAGAAGAGGGGAGTGTGAGAGAGGCATGGTGGCAGCAGCAGCAACCGCATTCCTACCCCAGTGCGTGCAAGAACCTCTCAACCACCAACGCCAGCTCATCCCTCCTTCCGCAATCTCTCCTTCCAGGAGCGAGTCCCTCGTTGCACAAGCACATCCCAGGCAGGGCAGGGAGGGCAGGGAGCAGTGGCACTCACCGCAACGCCAAGCAGCGTAGAGGCGGTGAAGAGGTAGAGGAAGTCAGAGAGCACGTTGAGCAGCGTGGCGAGGGAGAGCGCGTGCGCGGCGGGCGAGAGGGCGAGCTGCTGCACGGCGCGGAAGAGCACAATGGACGTGGCGTCGTTCACCACTCCCTCGCCGAACACCAGACTGTACACCAACGGCTGCTCCTCCTGGTCCAACACCTGTGAGCGTGCGCGCAGGGTATAGAGTATAGCGCGCATGCGCGCAGGGAGCAGGGGGTACGGGAGTGGAGGGCACTCAGGAGGGCACTCAGGGGGGCACTCAGGGGGGCACTCAGGGGGGCACTCAGGGGGGCACTCAGGGGGGCACTCAGGGGGGCACTCAGGGGGGCACTCAGGGGGGCACTCAGGGGGGCACTCAGGGGGGCACTCAGGGGGGCACTCAGGGGGGCAATCGAGGAAGGGAAGGGAGGAAGGAGCATTGCATCCTGCTGGTGCAGGTGGGCACGTTATGCCCTCACACACCAAACCTTGCCCCCAGCTTTGCCCATCTCCAGAGAACACACCCTCATGGGCTCTTCCAACCCCACTCTCCCCCGACTCTCCCCCCAACTCCATTATCCCCCCACTCTTCACCAAAGCTCACCTGCAGCACGGAGACAGAGTCAGTGGCGGAGAAGATCACTCCCAGCGCTGCACGCAGAGGGTGGGGGGGCAGGGGGAAGGGGAACGGCAGAGGAGGTTGGGGGGAAGGGGGAGAGGCGAGAGGGGAGGGGGGGTGGGTGAGGAGAGTCCCGAAGCAGTGACGCTGGGCTGGTGTGGTGAGTGCAGTCATTGCAATGCTGCCATGTGAAGCATGCGATGGCAGTGACTACGAGACACGTGGCACAGACGAAGGTACACGTGGCACTGACCAAGGTACACGTGGCACTGACCAAGGTATATGTGGCTGGGTTGAATAGGCAGGCCAAAGAGAGGGAAGAGGAAGTTGCAACCTGGAATACAGAATGAGTGAGCAGCGAAAAAAAGAGATACAGGGAGGCAAGAGAGGTAGGAGTTGAAGGAGAAGGGGAGGGGTGGAAGCAGGGACAAAGGAGAGCATGAGGGGGAGATGACAAGCGCGAGCCATGAAGAATCGGCAGGTGCGCAGCATGCACTGGCAGAGAGCAGTTGAAGGGACGATGGGCTGTGGGGAGTGGCATGACAAAAAGCATTAGCGCACTGTGGCAAGCCAAGGGGAGAGCATGCATTGCGGGTGAGGAGGCGCAGAGCGAGGGGCAGTGCAGAGCGCATGGCGACCTGCAGTGATGACGGAGACGGAGATGAAGACGCCTGCTATGCCGTACGCCATGATGCCCCCGAAGTTGCGGAAAAACTGCTTCTTCTTCACCTGAAACCTGCCTTCCCCCGCCCGTGCACCGCCCCCGCCCGCCCCCCCACGCGGACATATGGAACGACGCAAGGAGAGGGGGGGGGAGGGGGGAGGGGGGAGGGGGGGAGGGAGGCGGGAGAGGGAGGGGAAGGGGGAAGAAAGGGAGAGTGTGAGAGGCGACGAGGGGTGTGGGACAGCGGAGTGAGAGGCAGCGATGGCTGTGGTGCAGGGCAGGGCAGCAGGGCGGCAACCAGATTTCCTCCGCACTTCCCCCTCTCACTGCACACCCACGCCTGCACCCTGCTGCCTCTCATCCCCTGTTCAGGGAGACCCCATTACGAGCTACCACGCGGCATGGGGGAATGGGCGCGCGCGTTACCCGGCGTTGAAGATGATGGGAGGCAGCAGGTAGATGAAGAACAGGTCCTCGTCGAACCGCAGAATCATCGAACTCGCGCCGCCCCGCACGAACAGCACCACCGCGCCCGACGCCAGGCCCTGGCGCGGATGGAATATGGGAGGGGGAAGCAGGGGGGGACGATGCGCAACGCGGAGACGACTGGATGCTCGTGACGAAGCGTAAAGGGCGACGTCGAGAAAGTGGGCGAAACGAGCGAAAGGAGCGAAAGGGGCGAAACGAGCGAAAGGCGCGAAAGGGGCGAAACGAGCGAAAGGCGCGAAAGGGGCGAAACGAGAGAAAGGCGCGAAAGTGGCGAACGGAGGCATTGAAACGGAGCAGGGAGGCGAGGGAAAGGGAGAGGCGGGGATGCATTGCGCGCACTGTGGTTGCGCGGACCGGGAGGGAGGTGGGCACTGACGAAGAGGATGGCGGTGACGGCGTCGTTGATCCACCGCACGCCCTCCAGCACGTGCCCCACCACGATGCACGCGCACAGCAGCCCCACGAACAGCGTCAGCGCCGCCACGTCCGTGCCGCCCCCCGCCAGCACCGACACCAGGCTCACCACCGGGACGCCGCTGTGCGACGCGGCGGCCGCTGCGCCCGCATGGCTGGACCCTCCCCCCAGCGCTGCAGCCGCTAAAGGTTGGGCGGGGAAGGACATGGGGTAGGAGACGTGCTCCATGAGCGCCGGCAGGATGGCGTGCGCGACGGGCGCATGGGGCATGGACGACCGCGACGACGGCGGGCGCGACGGAGTGGAGCGAGAGAGCAGCGAGCGAGTAGCAGGCGTGGGATGAACGGCTCACGAGAAACTTCTCAGCTGACGGGCTAGGAACGTTTCAGGCTGTCTAACAAGGGCAGGCACGCTACGTACTAAGCGTCTAATAATGACTTGCAGCTGAGCGTTGGTCAAGGGCAATGTTGGTGAACTACAATACAACAGCATGGCATGGCATAGCGTATGGATAGCACGAGTTGTTGGATGGCGGCGTCATGCAGCCTATCGTCGCAATGGTTAGCTTCAAGTTTCGTTAATGTTCGCAATTTCTCGTCATCCTATCCGTATCCCCCTTTTCTAATTACGACTATGGGCGACATCCCGAGTCAACAAGCTGGTTTCTGGCCAATGGGTGGTTCATCCGGGAAACAGGGTTAGGAGGGACGAATCAGGTGCTTGGTGAATGCACCCGAACCGGAATGGGTGCTCCAATCAACTGGAAAGGCACACAATTGTCTGCATTCTACAGCTGGAGAGCAGGTATTACTATACAAACAACACACAAAATTAAAATTATTTACATGCCCAAGCTAACACAGAGAATGGATACGGTACTTGGACCAAATGGTAAGGCCAGACATCCAAAATTGCCATAAAAACGAACCCTAATTCTCCATGCTCTCACTCTTCCCCTCCTCCACATCCATGGGTGCAAGCCCACTATGCTCTTCCGGATTCGAGTGTGGTGTCACACGTGCAGCTTCCTCAGCAGCCGCCTGGGCATGCACCCCTGTACCTGCCATGCTGCTGTGCACACCCACGCTGGGCTGCACTGGGATCACATCTGCAGGCCCCACACTCAACGCCCCTCCGGTGCGCGCCATGCCTCCCGCAATGCGCATGCGCGAACCACCAGGGGGGATGCCGTGGGGTGCAGCTGACATGCCATGGAATGCAGATGCTGGTGCTGCCACCAAGGCAGGTGGCGCGGCGGCAGCAGCGGGTGGGGCAGAAGAAGGAGGCAGGGCGGTGGGTGCTACGGAGGGAAGCTGCATGGCGAAGGGGTTGGTGGCAGCAGCAAGGGGATAGAGGCTGCTGCTGTGGGCGGAGTGGGGAATCGTGGGCTCAGCAGGGGTGAGCTGGGTGCCTGCAGCCACACGCTGTGCGCAGTAGGCAGGGGCAGTCGCAGGGGAAGGACCCTCAACGTGAGTGGGAGGCAGCACACTGCCCTTCACATCCTCTCCCCCTCCTTGCTTGCCTTTCTCCTCTGTTTCCCCCTCCTGCTCAACAACAGAGCCGCCACCACCTTCGGTCTCACCCCCACCTGCAGCCTTCTCTGCCTTCCCACCACCCTGCTCCACCTCAACGCCCTCCTGCACTCTCTCCCCCTCTCCCCGAACACCACTCACCATCCCTTCCGATTCCACACCTCCTTGCCCCTCCCCCTCCTTGCCGCCTGTCCTGCCTTCACCATCACCATCGCCTGATTTGCCAGCAGAACCACCCGCAGCAGCAGCATCAGTCGTTGCTGTCTGTTTCGCCTCCCCACCTTGCGCGCTCTTGTCCGCGTTCACCACTCCACTCGCCTGCGCACTGCCTTCATGCGTCGCCGTCCCTCCCTGCCCTTGCTCACCGCCCGCCGTCCCTCCACCTTCCGGCGCCGGCGCTCCTCCTTCGCGCTTCCCCTTGTCCGTCGCAGGGGCGCGCGACTCATCTCTTTCATCTTGCGACTCGCGGCGGCGTTGCACTGACGCCATGGCGCGCGACTCTCTAGTCGGAAACTCAGCAGCTCGCTGTGCTCTCCAGGAATAAACACAGGAAGAAGCAACAGGTTCGATTGATCCACGGAAACGCGCTTCACAATTGTGCCCCTTGCCTCTGGGAAGCCAATTCCCCCTCAACGTTGGTTGGAACATTTTGGATGTGAGATTTTTCCGAGGCGCGTGATCAAAAGCGTAATTCCATAGTGAGCACCACGCAGCACGCATGCATGGCCCCACTGCCCAGCTCCCCACTGCCACGTGCCCTTCTTCATGCCCTCGTGGTCCCTCCGAAAGAGGGCTTGAGCTCGTCGTTCAGTCAACTCAAGTGGGGCGAGAATCCGCCTCTGCGGCTCTGGTCTCGTCGCATGATGGCACAGCCACAGCGACAGCAGCTCGTTGGAAGTGATGATGGATGCTTGTTCGTGCTTCGCTGCGCTGACGCTTACCAGGGGTACTGCACTGCACTGCAGCTACTGCGCACTCTCGTCTCCTGTTTACAGATTCATGAGAGCTCCGGGGCCATATCGCGCCTGATTCTGCCCTCCACACCGATACGAACCGATCATGGCAGAGCGTCAGCAGGAACGCGCGTCGCCGTCACAACCGCAACAGCAGCAGAGCCAACCAGGAGCGCCCATGGCGACGGACGCGCAAACGGAGGTAAGGCATCGCAAGCACGCCGCGCGGGAGTATCCGGGACGTGCTGCCATGCGCTGCTCAAATCGCACGCCCGTTTGCTTCGGCTGTCTTGCCATTTGGAAGCACGGCTCATTTGTTCTTCTTGCCGCCTTGCTAATTTGACATCTGATCGCTATTTATCTCGCTCTTCTCTAACCCACCGCGTGCGCTTCCGCTGCAGGCGCGCGCAGCATCAGTCGAGGCGGTGCAGGCGGCGCAGGAGGCGGAAGAGGCGAGCAAGCGCGCGTACGTGAAGCAGGCGCAAGCGCAGGAGAAGATGCAGGTGGCGGCGCAGGTAGCGGCGCAGCAGCAGCAGGCGGCGCGGCAGGCGGCGAGCATGGCGGCGAGCGAGGCAGCGCGCGCTGTGAGGGAGGACGAGCGCGCAGCGGGGCGGCAGCAGCAGCAGGAGTCAGCGGTACAGGGCATGATAGCGCAGCAGGCAGCGCAGATGGCGGTGCAGCAACAGCAGCAGCAGCCACAACAGCCCATGCAGGCAGCAGTGCAGCAGCAGCAGGGCATGGTGACAGGCCCTAGTACCGCACCTCTCCCTGGTGCCAGTGGAAGCTACTATTCACCAGCTCCGGGGGCTGCCATGAGTGGAGTGGAAGGGGCAGCACCGTTGTTGGCAGCAGCGATGCAGGGCGAGCATGCGGGTGCAGCAGCACAGGCGTTTGTGGCGCAGATGGCGAGTGAGGCGGCGGAAACTGCGGCACAGAGCATGGCAGCAGCACAGCACATGGCCGCCTCTGCTCCCAACGATGCTGCCGTGCAGCAGGTACCTAATGCCCATGCTGCAACCCATGCCCCCATGTGCTCTTTCCATGTTCTCCAGAGAACATAACTTATTGTTTCTGTGTGTGAATGTGTGTGGGTGTGGAGCAGGCAGCAGGGCAGCAGGCAGCGTTATCAGAGGAGCAGATGGCTCTGGCACGGCAGCTGGCGGCGGCAAGCAATGATCCAGGCACGGCATTGCACACGGCACAGGTCATTCAGCAGTACCAGCAGCAGATGCAGCAGGAGGCTCAGGGCCAGCTCTAGCTAGGGGTGGTGGTGGAGATACTAGGCACTGCATGCTTTGTGCTTTCACTATATTTTTTGTTGTTGACGATATGTTTTGTAGTTGATCAATAGTGTTATCAGGACAGGTGGTGCACGAAGCTGTGTGCTGTGTGTAAATTCAAATTACAACTGAAATGTAAAAAACTTTTAGCAATCTGCAACGGAATTCCACTTTACCGGACTTGCCATAACGCCTCGCATTCTCCAATGATCTGATCTCCTTGCTCCCCTCCCCGCCTCAACTCGTCAACCCACCCCCTCCTGGATCCCACCGCCGCCATTCTCCTTACTTTCCGTGCCTCGCCCTCCCCTCACCCCGAATCCGTCCGCCTATTGGCTTCTTTGTCCGGGGCTGTGCAAGTGGGAGAAGCGGCGTGCGGGGGGGGGGGGAAGCGCGAGGAGGGGATGCGCGGGAGGTGAGTTGGAGCGATGAAGAAGGCGCAGGAGAAGAAGGCGAAGCGGCACATCTACAGCACGGGCGCCGCTGGGTGCGGAGGGAAGGCGGCGCCCACCAACGCCAAGAACACGGGGCAGGTGCGATCGCACCATGAACGACTCACCATCGGTGGCACTCGAATCTGCCCACCGCTACTCCACCTCCTCAACCCGCCCCACCCCCTCATCCCACACACGCTCACCCTTTTCCCTTTCGCTCTCTCTCGTTTTCCCACCTCCCGTCCTCCTTCCCATCCGCCTTCCCCCTTCCCCCTCCCGCACCACCCCGGCCTCCCTCCCCGTTCCCCGCGTTCCGTTCTCCCCCGCAGCCGCTACCGTGTCCGTTCTGCGAGCGCGTGTTCAAGCAGGACGGGCGACTCAAGGACCACATCAAGAGCCAGCACGCTGACGCCGCCGCCGTCAATGCTGACGTGGACACACCCAACGGAGCGCCGACGACAGGTGTTGCTGGCGCGCAGAGCGTGGGCAGAGGGGCGGGCGCAGCGGGGGCTGGCGCGAATGCGCGGGGAGGTGATGGGGCGGGGAGGGGGAATGGTGCGGCAGTAGGGGGAGTGGATGGGGAGAAGGGCGGAGCTGGAGCGGGAGCGGCAGGCGGAGGCGGGGGGGGGGGGCGTGTACTATGTGAAGACGCCCAAGGTGCTGCTGAACGAGTGGTGCCAGAAGAGCAAGCACCCCACGCCCAAGTACAAACACGTGCGCGCCTCCCCACCTCGCCCTCCTCTCGCATTCCCCCGACTCCTCGCCTTTCCCAACACTCCCCCTTCCCTCCTTTCCCCCTTTCTCCCACTCCAATCTCCTCTCACTTCTTCCTTCCCTCAACACCCCTCCGTCCCTATCCCGCCTATACTTCCCGTCCCCATCCTTTTCCCCTGCTCTGCGCGCAGGTGGAGGCGCCAGGCGGGGGCTTCCACGCGCGCGCCATCATCCCGGATCCGCGCGACCCCACACAGGACACCATCGTGTGGTGGCGCGGCACGCCTCCCGCGCCCTCGTCTTTGGACGCGCACAACCGCGCCGCCACCATGGCCCTGCACCGCGTCATGGGCTCCACCAGGTGGAGGGGGGAAAGGGGGAGGGGGGAGCGTGTGTGAGGGAGGGGAACGAGGGGTTGGGGGAACGGCGGGAAAGGGGAATGGGAAGGGTGCTGGGGTGGTGTGGGTGGGAGGAGATGATTTTGGTTTTGAGTTGGATATGAGGGTGGGAGGGATGGGGAGGGAAGTAGAGGGTGAGGAGCAGCGCGCACTGCTTGCATTCCAATCAGCATTCCCGTTCACCCTCCTTCATTCCTCTCTTTCATCCTGCGCTGTCCCACCGCCAGACCCACACGCACCTAACCCTCCTAACACTTCATTCTTGTAACCATTAACCCGTAACACTCTTATGCCTCCACCCGTGCACGTGCGTGCATGGCAGGATGGATCGAGTGTTGGGGGAGGAGTACCGGCAGCAGTGGAGGGATTTAGACCGTGAGGCGGAGGACAGGAAGGAGCGCGACAGGCGCCATGCGGAGGACAGGCAGCGGCGCGAGGAGCGGGAGCGAGCGCAGCAGCAGCGGCAGGTGCAGCGCGCCAATGTGTTCCTGAGCGATGATAAGCGCCAGCTCGTGCACGCCCTGCTCTCCACTGCCCCCGCACCTGCCCCCGCCTCCTCCTTGCCTGCCCCGTTTGTCCCCGCCACTACTGCGGCTGCTCCCCAGGGCGGGGTGGACTTGAGCGGGGCTCATGCTGCAACCGCTGGTATTGCCTCAGTGCCACTGCACGCAGCACCGCCAGTGTCAGCAGCGCCTGCTAGTGGCAGCGAGAGTGAGAGCAGCAGGCAGGCAGTGGCCAATCAGCTGCTGGCATCTGGCTTCCCGCTGGAATGGACACAGCAAGCCACTGCCCACTGCTCTGACTACGTGGCAGCACGTGATTGGCTCATCCTGCACATGCCAGAGCACCTGCTCCCAGCCCAGTTCGCTGCCTCCACATCCGCCTCCGCGGTTGCAGTGCTGCACTCCGCCTCTCCCGCTGCCATTCCCTCCGCCACCGCCCTCCAAATCGACCAGTGGCAGCCGGGCATCTCCCCTCAGCTGCGCTGGCTACTTGCATGTGGCTATGACGGCCCCTCCGCCCTGCAAGCGCTCTCTCTCACTGCTCATGCCGGTGCAGATGACGAGGTGGCGGCGCTGCAGTGCCTGCAGCAGCGCTTCCCCATGGACGTGCGCGGTGCACAAGGCATGGGGGGAGGGGATGGCGCAGAGGGGGGAGAAGGGGACGCGGAGGGTACGGAGTGGGGGGAAGGGGAGCAGCGGGGCGAGGGGGAGGTGGGGGAGGCGAGGGAGGAGGAGCGCATGGTGCTGGAGGCAATCTTTGGGCCGGATCTGGCAGTGCGCGAGGTGCAGAGCGGTGCTGGGGGGTTGGCGGTGGTGATGTCGGTGCGGATAAAGCAGGAGGCGGGTGGTGCGCATGGGGATGGCGAGGACAGCACGCCTACACATGCTGCTGCGCTTCATCTTGAGGTGCGCTGCAAACCCAATGCTACCATGCCGTTTCTCTTGTTTCTGTGCTCATGCCCGCATCTTCCCCTCCTTTGCCCCCTCGTCTCCCCCTCCGCCATTCATTCCTTTTCCTGCACTCTTCCCCCCACCATCCCCCCACTCGCCCCCCACTACCCTCCAGGTCATCATTCCAGCTACCAGCTCCTACCCCTTCTCCCTCCCGCTCCTCGCCTTCCGCCTCTCCTCCTCCAACCCCATCCCCGTCCCGCCCGCCCTCCCCCTCTCCCTGCGCTTCTGGGCCGCCTGCGCTCTCCACTACGCCCGCCACAACCTGCCTCCCGGCATGGGAGTCGTGCACTCCCTTGCCACCTGGGCTGCTGACCACGCCCTCCCCGCCTTCCTCTCGCTGCTCTCCCCCCGCCCTGCCTCCTCTGGTCCCTCCCACGCACCCCTGCTTCTCCCTCACCTCGCCTCGTTCTCCCTCACTCCCTCCTCCGGATCCGCCGCCTCCTCCTCCCTATCAGTACCAGTTGCAGCAGCAGCTGTTTCAGCAGCACCAGTCGCTGCTAATTCCAACACAGGTGCTGCTGCTGCTACTGCCAGTGCTGCTGCTACTGCCAGTGCTGCTGCTACTGCCAGTGCTGGTGCTGCGAGCGCCAGTGCCGGTGGTGCTGGCAGGGACATGGAAGTGCGGGCAGCAGGGGACGACGCATGGTGGCAGCAGAGCAGAGCAGGGGGAAAGCCAGGCAGGGGAGCAGGGCGGGGAATGGGTGAGGGCGAAGCCAGGGAGGATTGGGAGCGGCTGAAGCGGTGGTGGGAGGAGATGCAGGGGAGCAGGCAGCACGCGGGCATGATGCAGACGCGGAGGGGCCTGCCTGTGGCGGCGTCCAGAGCGCAAGTGCTGGCAGCACTGCAGCAGTCGTGGGTGGTGGTGGTCAGTGGCGCCACTGGCAGCGGCAAGAGCACCCAGGTCCGTGCGGGGAAGGCCTGGAGGAGAGTGGAGAAGATGGGAGGGGAGAGGTAGAAATGGGGGCAAGTGGTTGGGGATTGGGGAGGGGAGGCGAAAAGGGGGGGAGCATGGGATTGAGCAAAGGTCAAGGACCGATCATGGGTTATGGTTTTCATGCTGCTACATCGTATCCTGTTGCTCTCATGTACCCGTCCTGTAGTGTCCCGTTGTGCGCCTGTTGCTCTTTCACCAACCATCATTCCATCCAACCCCTCTCGTGCTGTCGCTCCATCCATCTGCATCACTCTCGCGCCCGCATCTCCCAACCCCCCCCCTGCTCCCTCCCACCACCAGGTGCCCCAGTACATTCTAGAGGGCGCCTCTGAGGTGCCGCCGCTCCATCCATCGGTATCACTCTCGTGCATTCATCTCCTACCCCCCCTTTCTCTCCCCACCACCAGGTGCCCCAGTACATCCTGGAGGGCGCCTTAGAGGAATCCGCCGCTGCACCTGCGTCATCCTCGCACCCTGCACCGTGCTGCTCCGTGGTGATCACGCAGCCGCGTCGCATATCAGCAGTGGGCCTCGCGCACAGGGTGGCGCAGGAGAGGGCTGAGACCGTCGGCGACACTGTTGGTGCCACCTGCCCTCCCGCCCTCCCGCCCTCCCTCCCTTTGTCGCTCTCTCCGCTTCTCCTCCTCGGCTGCTCTTTTCTTGCAACAGAAGCATCTTTCAAGCACCCACCCTCCTCCATGCGTTTCCTCTTGAGCCCGCCCCTCTTCCTTCTCTACCCCTGATCCCACCCTTTCTGCCCCCTGCTGAGATACACCCTTTCTCACGCACCCCAAAAATCCTCTCACTCACTCCCCCTCCATGCCTGCCTGTCGGCTCGGCTACCAGGTGGGGTATGCGATCCGCATGGAGGCACGGCGCTCGCAGCGCACGCGGCTGCTCTTCTGCACCACAGGGCTGCTGCTGCGGCGCCTGCTGGCGGACCCACTGCTGGCGGGGGTGTCACACGTGGTGGTAGACGAGGTGCACGAGCGCTCTCTCGACAGCGACCTGCTGCTGCTGCTGCTGCGCTTCGCACTCCTGCAACGCAACCTGGCTCAACAGCAGGGGCCGGGCCAGGAGAATCTGCCTCTGTGCGTACCGCATTGCACTCCTGTATCCCTGCCTGCTCGCACCCTCAGCTGCGTTGCTAGCACCTCAGCTGCGTTGCTCGCACCCTCAGCTGCGTTGCTGGCACCCTCACCTGCGTTGCTCGCACCCTCAGCTGCGTTGCTCGCACCCTCAGCTACGTTGCTCGCACCCTCAGCTGCGTTGCTCGCACCCTCAGCTGCGTTGCTCGCACCCTCAGCTGCGTTGCTCGCACCCTCAGCTGCGTTGCTCGCACCCTCAGCTGCGTTGCTCGCACCTTCACCTGAGCACCGTTTCTCACCAGTCTCACCTCTCCTCCTCCCCTTCAACCCACCCTTACTGCTCATTTCCTCGTCCCACCCACCATTTCATTCTAGCTTCCCCCGCCCACCCCCTTCTCCCCCTCCCCCTTGGTGTGCTTGGCAGGCTGCGCATAGTGCTCATGTCAGCCACAGCCGACGCGCACGCCTTCGCAGACTACTTCCACCGCCTCCTCCTCTCCCACTCCCACCACTTCCCGCCCTCCCTCCTCTCTCCCCACCCCACATCCCTCACGCCCTCCACTCCCCTCTCCTCCCTCCTGACCTCACGCCTGCCGCGCCCGGCGCTGATCACAGTACCAGGGCGCACCCACCCGGTGCGACAGTTGTTTCTGGAAGACGCTCTTGCCCTCACCAACACGGTTATTGGCCGCAACTCCAAGTATGCGCGTAAGGGCGCCGGCAAGAGCAACGCTGTTGCAGGAGGCATGGCACGCGGGGAAAGTGCAGGCAGGGAGGGTGGCGGGGCTGTGGAGATGGGGGCAAATGGGGGCGGAGCTGGAGAAAAGGTGGGAGACGCGGAGGAGGGTAAGGTGGCGGGGGAGGAAGACGATGAGGAGGAGGAGGGTGGGTGGGAGTCTCTGGCGGATGATGCGGGTGATGTGATCAGCAACAGCAGCAGCAGTGGGCGCAGCAGTGGTGCGGCACTCAGTGCGAGCTCTGCTCCCATGGCAGAGCACGGCATGGGTGTGGCGGGTGGCAATGGAACAGGTGGACAGGGGGCAGTAACAGCAGCAGCAACAGGAGGAGCGGTTGCAGGTGGACGGGCAGGAGCGGTGGCAGGAGGAGGAGGGGCAGGAGGGGGTGGGCAGTACAGTGAGGCGGTGTTGCGGTCGCTGGCAGTGGTGGAGGAGAGTGTGATCAACTACGAGCTGATAGAAGCCCTCATCGCTGCCATCGTGCGCTCCAACTCCCACCCCCACCAGCATCAGCAGCAGCAGCAGCAGTGGCAGCAGCGGGAAGAGGAGGTGGTGGGGTCGTCAGCAGGCAGCAGCGTCGGCAGCAGCACCTTCAGCTGGGACAGCGCAGCCAGCAGCAGCAGTGGTAACAGCAGCGCCGCTGCCTCATCGTTGCTGGTGCCTGAACCAGCAGAGGGCAGAACGGGCAGTGGGCCGTCAAGAGGCGCGCTCAAGGCGAGGGGCATACTGGTGTTCCTGCCGGGTATGGCTGAGATCAAGCACTTGCAGCGACAGCTGGAGGGGAGCCGGGTGCTGCAGCAGGCGGTGGAGGGGGCGGGGCAGCGAGGAGGGCGGGGGGCGATGGTGGTGGTGACGCTGCATGGGTCCCTGGCACAGAAGGAGCAGCAGCGGGTGTTTGCAGCGGTGGCGGAGGGCACGTGGAAGGTGGTGCTTTCTACTAACGTGGCTGAGACCAGTGTCACCATCGACGATGTCGTGTGCGTGCTCCACGCCCTGCCCATGCCCATGCTATGCCATGCCCCTCCATGCCATGCCCTGCCATTCCATGCCATTCCATGCCATGCCATGCCATGCCATGCCATGCCATGCCAGGCCATGCACACATGCGAGCATACACCCTACTACCCCACATCACAGCCACCGTTCAATTCCCCTCACCCCATCCTCTCCCTACCCAACCTCTCAACTTCCCCTGTTCCATCCGCATCCCTTGTGTCGCCCTTTTCCTGCACCCCTCCCCCCCGCTCTCCGCGGTGAGCAGGTGGGTGGTGGACAGTGGGCGGAAGAGGGAGGTGGTGCACGATGTGGTGCGGGGCATGGACGTCATGGGCGATGCGTGGGTGTCACAGGCAGCGGCATCGCAGAGGGCGGGGCGAGCAGGCAGGGTGCAGCCGGGGTGCTGCATCCGCCTCTACTCGCGCTCCCTCTTCCACTCCCTGCCGCCGCACACGCCACCGGAGATGCTGCGCGTCTCCCTCCACTCGCTCTGCTTGCAGGTGATCAGGAGCTCCGGTTCTGGAGCTCGGGTTCTGGAGGTCGGGTTCTGGAGGTCAGGTTCTGGAGGTCAGGTTCTGGAGCTTGGGTTCTGGAGCTCCGGTTTTGGAGGTCAGTTTCTGGAGCTCAGGTTCTGGAGCTCGGGTTCTGGAGCTCGGGTTTTGGAGGTCAGGTTCTGGAGCTTGGGTTCTGGAGCTCGGGTTCTGGAGGTCAGGTTCTGGAGGTCAGGTTCTGGAGGTCAGGTTCTGGAGCTCGGGTTCTGGAGCTCCGGTTCTGGAGGTCAGGTTCTGGAGGTCAGGTTCTTGAGCTCGGGTTCTGGAGCTCAGGTTCTTGAGCTCGGGTTCTGGAGGTCAGGTTCTGGAGCTCGGGTTCTGGAGCTCGGGTTCTGGAGCTCGGGTTCTGGAGGTCGGGTTTTGGAGGTCAGGTTCTGGAGCTCGGGTTTTGGAGGTCAGGTTCTGGAGGTCCGGTTCTGGAGCTCGGATTCTGGAGGTCAGGTTCTGGAGGTCAGGTTCTGGAGCTTGGGTTCTGGAGCTCCGGTTTTGGAGGTCAGTTTCTGGAGCTCAGGTTCTGGAGCTCGGGTTCTGGAGGTCGGATTCTGGAGGTCCGGTTCTGGAGCTCCGGTTCTGGAGGTCAGGTTCTGGAGCTCGGGTTCTGGAGCTCGGGTTTTGGAGGTCAGGTTCTGGAGCTTGGGTTCTGGAGCTCGGGTTCTGGAGGTCAGGTTCTGGAGGTCAGGTTCTGGAGGTCGGGTTCTGGAGCTCGGGTTCTCGACTCCGGTTCTGGAGGTCAGGTTCTGGAGGTCAGGTTCTGGAGGTCGGGTTCTGGAGCTCAGGTTCTTGAGCTCGGGTTGTGGAGGTCAGGTTCTGGAGCTTGGGTTCTGGAGCTCCGGTTCTGGAGGTCAAGTTCTGGAGCTCCGGTTCTGGAGCTCGGGTTTTGGAGGTCAGGTTCTGGAGCTTGGGTTCTGGAGCTCGGGTTCTGGAGGTCAGGTTCTGGAGCTCCGGTTCTGGAGCTCGGGTTCTGGAGGTCAGGTTCTGGAGGTCGGGTTCTGGAGCTCAGGTTCTTGAGCTCGGGTTCTGGAGGTCAGGTTCTGGAGCTTGGGTTCTGGAGCTTCGGTTCTGGAGGTCAAGTTCTGGATCTCCGGTTCTGGAGCTCGGGTTTTGGAGGTCGGGTTCTGGAGCTTGGGTTCTGGAGCTCGGGTTCTGGAGGTCAGGTTCTGGAGCTCCGGTTCTGGAGCTCGGGTTCTGGAGGTCAGGTTCTGGAGGTCGGGTTCTGGAGCTCAGGTTCTTGAGCTCGGGTTCTGGAGGTCAGGTTCTGGAGCTTGGGTTCTGGAGGTCAAGTTCTGGAGATCCGGTTCTGGAGCTCGGGTTTTGGAGGTCAGGTTCTGGAGCTTGGGTTCTGGAGCTCGGGTTCTGGAGCTCGGGTTCTGGAGCTCCGGTTCTGGAGGTCAGGTTCTGGAGGTCAGGTTCTGGAGGTCGGGTTCTGGAGCTCAGGTTCTTGAGCTCGGGTTCTGGAGGTCAGGTTCTGGAGCTCCGGTTCTGGAGCTCGGGTTTTGGAGGTCAGGTTCTGGAGCTTGGGTTCTGGAGCTCGGGTTCTGGAGGTCAGGTTCTGGAGCTCCGGTTCTGGAGCTCCGGTTCTGGAGGTCAGGTTCTGGAGCTCGGGTTCTGGAGCTCGGGTTCTGGAGCTCGGGTTCTGGAGGTCGGGGTTTGGAGGTCAGGTTCTGAAGCTCGGGTTTTGGAGGTCAGGTTCTGGAGCTCCTTTTCTGGAGCTCGGGTTCTGGAGGTCAGGCTCTGGAGGTCAGGTTCTGGAGCTTGGGTTCTGGAGCTCCGGTTTTGGAGGTCAGTTTCTGGAGCTCAGGTTCTGGAGCTCGGGTTCTGGAGGTCGGATTCTGGAGGTCCGGTTCTGGAGCTCCGGTTCTGGAGGTCAGGTTGTGGAGCTCGGGTTCTGGAGCTCGGGTTTTGGAGGTCAGGTTCTGGAGCTTGGGTTCTGGAGCTCGGGTTCTGGAGGTCAGGTTCTGGAGGTCAGGTTCTGGAGGTCGGGTTCTGGAGCTCGGGTTCTCGAGCTCCGGTTCTGGAGGTCAGGTTCTGGAGGTCAGGTTCTGGAGGTCGGGTTCTGGAGCTCAGGTTCTTGAGCTCGGGTTGTGGAGGTCAGGTTCTGGAGCTTGGGTTCTGGAGCTCCGGTTCTGGAGGTCAAGTTCTGGAGCTCCGGTTCTGGAGCTCGGGTTTTGGAGGTCAGGTTCTGGAGGTTGGGTTCTGGAGCTCGGGTTCTGGAGGTACGGTTCTGGAGCTCAGGTTCTGGAGCTCGGGTTCTGGAGCTCCGGTTCTGGAGGTCAGGTTCTGGAGGTCAGGTTCTGGAGGTCGGGTTCTTGAGCTCGGGTTCTGGAGGTCAGGTTCTGGAGCTCCGGTTCTGGAGCTCGGGTTTTGGAGGTCAGGTTCTGGAGCTTGGGTTCTGGAGCTCGGGTTCTGGAGGTCAGGTTCTGGAGCTCCGGTTCTGGAGCTCGGGTTCTGGAGGTCAGGTTCTGGAGGTCAGGTTCTGGAGCTTGGGTTCTGGAGCTCCGGTTCTGGAGCTCAGGTTCTGGAGCTCGGGTTCTGGAGCTCGGGTTTTGGAGGTCAGGTTCTGGAGCTCGGGTTCTTGAGCTCGGGTTCTGGAGGTCAGGTTCTGGAGCTCGGGTTCTGGAGCTCGGGTTTTGGAGGTCAGGTTCTGGAGCTTGGGTTCTGGAGCTCGGGTTCTGGAGGTCAGGTTCTGGAGGTCAGGTTCTGGAGCTTGGGTTCTGGAGCTCCGGTTCTGGAGGTCAGGTTCTGGAGGTCAGGTTCTGGAGCTCCAGTTCTGGAGCTCAGGTTCTGGAGCTCGGGTTCTGGAGCTCGGGTTTTGGAGGTCAGGTTCTGGAGCTTGGGTTCTGGAGCTCGGGTTCTGGAGGTCAGGTTCTGGAGGTAAGGTTCTGGAGCTCGGGTTCTGGAGGTCAGGTTCTGGAGCTCCGGTTCTGGAGGTCAGGTTCTGGAGGTCAGGTTCTGGAGGTCGGGTTCTGGAGCTCAGGTTCTTGAGCTCTGGTTCTGGAGGTCAGATTCTGGAGCTCCGGTTCTGGAGCTCGGGTTTTGGAGGTCAGGTTCTGGAGCTTGGGTTCTGGAGCTCGGGTTCTGGAGGTCAGGTTCTGGAGCTTGGGTTCTGGAGCTCGGGTTCTGGAGGTCCGGTTCTGAAGGTCAGGTTCTGGAGCTTGGGTTCTGGAGCTCCGGTTCTGGAGGTCAGGTTCTGGAGGTCAGGTTCTGGAGCTCCGGTTCTGGAGCTCAGGTTCCGGAGGTCAGGTTCTGGAGGTCAGGTTCTGGAGCTCCGGTTCTGGAGCTCCGGTTCTGGAGGTCCGGTTCTGGAGGTCGGGTTCTGGAGCTCAGGTTCTGGAGGTCAGGTTCTGGAGCTCAGGTTCTGGAGGTCAGGTTCTGGAGCTTGGGTTCTGGAGGTCAGGTTCTGGAGGTCAGGTTCTGGAGGTCGGGTTCTGGAGCTCAGGTTCTTGAGCTCGGGTTCTGGAGGTCAGGTTCTGGAGCTCGGGTTCTGGAGCTCGGGTTCTGGAGCTCGGGTTCTGGAGGTCGGGTTTTGGAGGTCAGGTTCTGGAGCTCGGGTTTTGGAGGTCAGGTTCTGGAGGTCCGGTTCTGGAGCTCGGATTCTGGAGGTCAGGTTCTGGAGGTCAGGTTCTGGAGCTTGGGTTCTGGAGCTCCGGTTTTGGAGGTCAGTTTCTGGAGCTCAGGTTCTGGAGCTCGGGTTCTGGAGGTCGGATTCTGGAGGTCCGGTTCTGGAGCTCCGGTTCTGGAGGTCAGGTTCTGGAGCTCGGGTTCTGGAGCTCAGGTTTTGGAGTTCAGGTTCTGGAGCTTGGGTTCTGGAGCTCGGGTTCTGGAGGTCAGGTTCTGGAGGTCAGGTTCTGGAGGTCGGGTTCTGGAGCTCGGGTTCTCGACTCCGGTTCTGGAGGTCAGGTTCTGGAGGTCAGGTTCTGGAGGTCGGGTTCTGGAGCTCAGGTTCTTGAGCTCGGGTTGTGGAGGTCAGGTTCTGGAGCTTGGGTTCTGGAGCTCCGGTTCTGGAGGTCAAGTTCTGGAGCTCTGGTTCTGGAGCTCGGGTTTTGGAGGTCAGGTTCTGGAGCTTGGGTTCTGGAGCTCGGGTTCTGGAGGTCAGGTTCTGGAGCTCCGGTTCTGGAGCTCGGGTTCTGGAGGTCAGGTTCTGGAGGTCGGGTTCTGGAGCTCAGGTTCTTGAGCTCGGGTTCTGGAGGTCAGGTTCTGGAGCTTGGGTTCTGGAGCTCCGGTTCTGGAGGTCAAGTTCTGGAGCTCCGGTTCTGGAGCTCGGGTTTTGGAGGTCAGGTTCTGGAGCTTGGGTTCTGGAGCTCGGGTTCTGGAGCTCAGGTTCTGGAGCTCGGGTTCTGGAGCTCCGGTTCTGGAGGTCAGGTTCTGGAGGTCAGGTTCTGGAGGTCGGGTTCTGGAGCTCAGGTTCTTGAGCTCGGGTTCTGGAGGTCAGGTTCTGGAGCTTGGGTTCTGGAGCTCGGGTTCTGGAGGTCAGGTTCTGGAGCTCCGGTTCTGGAGCTCGGGTTCTGGAGGTCAGGTTCTGGAGGTCGGGTTCTGGAGCTCAGGTTCTTGAGCTCGGGTTCTGGAGGTCAGGTTCTGGAGCTTGGGTTCTGGAGCTTCGGTTCTGGAGGTCAAGTTCTGGAGCTCCGGTTCTGGAGCTCGGGTTTTGGAGGTCAGGTTCTGGAGCTTGGGTTCTGGAGCTCGGGTTCTGGAGCTCGGGTTCTGGAGCTCCGGTTCTGGAGGTCAGGTTCTGGAGGTCAGGTTCTGGAGGTCGGGTTCTGGAGCTCAGGTTCTTGAGCTCGGGTTCTGGAGGTCAGGTTCTGGAGCTCGGGTTCTGGAGGTCGGGTTTTGGAGGTCAGGTTCTGGAGCTCGGGTTTTGGAGGTCAGGTTCTGGAGCTCCGGTTCTGGAGCTCGGGTTCTGGAGGTCAGATTCTGGAGGTCAGGTTCTGGAGCTTGGGTTCTGGAGCTCCGGTTTTGGAGGTCAGTTCCTGGAGCTCAGGTTCTGGAGCTCGGGTTCTGGAGGTCGGATTCTGGAGGTCCGGTTCTGGAGCTCCGGTTCTGGAGGTCAGGTTCTGGAGGTCGGGTTCTGGAGCTCGGGTTTTGGAGGTCAGGTTCTGGAGCTTGAGTTCTGGAGCTCGGGTTCTGGAGGTCAGGTTCTGGAGGTCAGGTTCTGGAGGTCGGGTTCTGGAGCTCGGGTTCTCGAGCTCCGGTTCTGGAGGTCAGGTTCTGGAGGTCAGGTTCTGGAGGTCAGGTTCTGGAGGTCGGGTTCTGGAGCTCAGGTTCTTGAGCTCCGGTTTTGGAGCTTGGGTTCTGGAGCTCGGGTTCTGGAGGTCAGGTTCTGGAGGTCAGGTTCTGGAGGTCGGGTTCTGGAGCTCGGGTTCTCGAGCTCCGGTTCTGGAGGTCAGGTTCTGGAGGTCAGGTTCTGGAGCTCAGGTTCTGGAGGTCAGGTTCTGGAGCTTGGGTTCTGGAGGTCAGGTTCTGGAGGTCGGGTTCTGGAGCTCAGGTTCTTGAGCTCGGGTTCTGGAGGTCAGGTTCTGGAGCTCGGGTTCTGGAGCTCGAAATCTAGAGCTCGGGTTCTGGAGGTCGGGTTTTGGAGGTCAGGTTCTGGATCTCGGGTTTTGGAGGTCAGGTTCTGGAGGTCCGGTTCTGGAGCTCGGATTCTGGAGGTCAGGTTCTGGAGGTCAGGTTCTGGAGCTTGGGTTCTGGAGCTCCGGTTTTGGAGGTCAGTTTCTGGAGCTCAGGTTCTGGAGCTCGGGTTCTGGAGGTCGGATTCTGGAGGTCCGGTTCTGGAGCTCCGGTTCTGGAGGTCAGGTTCTGGAGCTCGGGTTCTGGAGCTCGGGTTTTGGAGTTCAGGTTCTGGAGCTTGGGTTCTGGAGCTCGGGTTCTGGAGGTCAGGTTCTGGAGGTCAGGTTCTGGAGGTCGGGTTCTGGAGCTCGGGTTCTCGACTCCGGTTCTGGAGGTCAGGTTCTGGAGGTCAGGTTCTGGAGGTCGGGTTCTGGAGCTCAGGTTCTTGAGCTCGGGTTGTGGAGGTCAGGTTCTGGAGCTTGGGTTCTGGAGCTCCGGTTCTGGAGGTCAAGTTCTGGAGCTCTGGTTCTGGAGCTCGGGTTTTGGAGGTCAGGTTCTGGAGCTTGGGTTCTGGAGCTCGGGTTCTGGAGCTCAGGTTCTGGAGCTCGGGTTCTGGAGCTCCGGTTCTGGAGGTCAGGTTCTGGAGGTCAGGTTCTGGAGGTCGGGTTCTGGAGCTCAGGTTCTTGAGCTCGGGTTCTGGAGGTCAGGTTTCTGGAGCTCCGGTTCTGGAGCTCGCGTTTTGGAGGTCAGGTTCTGGAGCTTGGGTTCTGGAGCTCGGGGTCTGGAGGTCAGGTTCTGGAGCTCCGGTTCAAGAGCTCGGGTTCTGGAGGTCAGGTTCTGGAGCTCGGGTTCTGGAGCTCGGGTTCTGGAGCTCGGGTTCTGGAGGTCAGGTTTTGGAGGTCAGGTTCTGGAGCTCGGGTTTTGGAGGTCAGGTTCTGGAGCTCCGGTTCTGGAGCTCGGGTTCTGGAGGTCAGATTCTGGAGGTCAGGTTCTGGAGCTTGGGTTCTGGAGCTCCGGTTTTGGAGGTCAGTTCCTGGAGCTCAGGTTCTGGAGCTCGGGTTCTGGAGGTCGGATTCTGGAGGTCCGGTTCTGGAGCTCCGGTTCTGGAGGTCAGGTTCTGGAGGTCGGGTTCTGGAGCTCGGGTTTTGGAGGTCAGGTTCTGGAGCTTGGGTTCTGGAGCTCGGGTTCTGGAGGTCAGGTTCTGGAGGTCAGGTTCTGGAGGTCGGTTTCTGGAGCTCGGGTTCTCGAGCTCCGGTTCTGGAGGTCAGGTTCTGGAGGTCAGGTTCTGGAGGTCGGGTTCTGGAGCTCAGGTTCTTGAGCTCGGGTTCTGGAGGTCAGGTTCTGGAGCTTGGGTTCTGGAGCTCCGGTTCTGGAGGTCAAGTTCTGGATCTCCGGTTCTGGAGCTCGGGTTTTGGAGGTCGGGTTCTGGAGCTTGGGTTCTGGAGCTCGGGTTCTGGAGGTCAGGTTCTGGAGCTCCGGTTCTGGAGCTCGGGTTCTGGAGGTCAGGTTCTGGAGGTCGGGTTCTGGAGCTCAGGTTCTTGAGCTCGGGTTCTGGAGGTCAGGTTCTGGAGCTTGGGTTCTGGAGCTTCGGTTCTGGAGGTCAAGTTCTGGAGCTCCGGTTCTGGAGCTCGGGTTTTGGAGGTCAGGTTCTGGAGCTTGGGTTCTGGAGCTCGGGTTCTGGAGCTCGGGTTCTGGAGCTCCGGTTCTGGAGGTCAGGTTCTGGAGGTCAGGTTCTGGAGGTCGGGTTCTGGAGCTCAGGTTCTTGAGCTCGGGTTCTGGAGGGCAGGTTCTGGAGCTCCGGTTCTGGAGCTCGGGTTTTGGAGGTCAGGTTCTGGAGCTTGGGTTCTGGAGCTCGGGTTCTGGAGGTCAGGTTCTGGAGGTCCGGTTCTGGAGCTCCGGTTCTGGAGGTCAGGTTCTGGAGCTCGGGTTCTGGAGCTCGGGTTCTGGAGCTCGGGTTCTGGAGGTCGGGTTTTGGAGGTCAGGTTCTGAAGCTCGGGTTTTGGAGGTCAGGTTCTGGAGCTCCTTTTCTGGAGCTCGGGTTCTGGAGGTCAGGCTCTGGAGGTCAGGTTCTGGAGCTTGGGTTCTGGAGCTCCGGTTTTGGAGGTCAGTTTCTGGAGCTCAGGTTCTGGAGCTCGGGTTCTGGAGGTCGGATTCTGGAGGTCCGGTTCTGGAGTTCCGGTTCTGGAGGTCAGGTTGTGGAGCTCGGGTTCTGGAGCTCGGGTTTTGGAGGTCAGGTTCTGGAGCTTGGGTTCTGGAGCTCGGGTTCTGGAGGTCAGGTTCTGGAGGTCAGGTTCTGGAGGTCGGGTTCTGGAGCTCGGGTTCTCGAGCTCCGGTTCTGGAGGTCAGGTTCTGGAGGTCAGGTTCTGGAGGTCGGGTTCTGGAGCTCAGGTTCTTGAGCTCGGGTTCTGGAGGTCAGGTTCTGGAGCTTGGGTTCTGGAACTCCGGTTCTGGAGGTCAAGTTCTGGAGCTCCGGTTCTGGAGCTCGGGTTTTGGAGGTCAGGTTCTGGAGGTTGGGTTCTGGAGCCCGGGTTCTGGAGGTACGGTTCTGGAGCTCAGGTTCTGGAGCTCGGGTTCTGGAGCTCCGGTTCTGGAGGTCAGGTTCTGGAGGTCAGGTTCTGGAGGTCGGGTTCTGGAGCTCAGGTTCTTGAGCTCGGGTTCTGGAGGTCAGGTTCTGGAGCTTGGGTTCTGGAGCTCGGGTTCTGGAGGTCAGGTTCTGGAGCTCCGGTTCTGGAGCTCGGGTTCTGGAGGTCAGGTTCTGGAGGTCAGGTTCTGGAGCTTGGGTTCTGGAGCTCCGGTTCTGGAGCTCAGGTTCTGGAGCTCGGGTTCTGGAGCTCGGGTTTTGGAGGTCAGGTTCTGGAGCTCGGGTTCTTGAGCTCGGGTTCTGGAGGTCAGGTTCTGGAGCTCCGGTTCTGGAGCTCCGGTTCTGGAGGTCAGGTTCTGGAGCTCGGGTTCTGGAGCTCGGGTTTTGGAGGTCAGGTTCTGGAGCTTGGGTTCTGGAGCTCTGGTTCTGGAGGTCAGGTTCTGGAGGTCAGGTTCTGGAGCTCGGGTTCTGGAGCTCCGGTTCTGGAGGTCAGGTTCTGGAGGTCAGGTTCTGGAGGTCGGGTTCTGGAGCTCAGGTTCTTGAGCTCGGGTTCAGGAGGTCAGGTTCTGGAGCTCGGGTTCTGGAGCTCGGGTTTTGGAGGTCAGGTTCTGGAGCTTGGGTTCTGGAGCTCGGGTTCTGGAGGTCAGGTTCTGGAGCTCCGGTTCTGGAGCTCGGGTTCTGGAGGTCAGGTTCTGGAGGTCAGGTTCTGGAGCTTGGGTTCTGGAGCTCAGGTTCTGGAGGTCAGGTTCTGGAGGTCAGGTTCTGGAGCTCCGGTTCTGGAGCTCAGGTTCTGGAGCTCGGGTTCTGGAGCTCGGGTTTTGGAGGTCAGGTTCTGGAGCTTGGGTTCTGGAGCTCGGGTTCTGGAGGTCAGGTTCTGGAGGTCAGGTTCTGGAGCTCGGGTTCTGGAGCTCCGGTTCTGGAGGTCAGGTTCTGGAGGTCAGGTTCTGGAGGTCGGGTTCTGGAGCTCAGGTTCTTGAGCTCTGGTTCTGGAGGTCAGGTTCTGGAGCTCCGGTTCTGGAGCTCAGGTTTTGGAGGTCAGGTTCTGGAGCTCGGGTTCTGGAGCTCGGGTTCTGGAGGTCAGGTTCTGGAGCTTGGGTTCTGGAGCTCGGGTTCTGGAGGTCCGGTTCTGAAGGTCAGGTTCTGGAGCTTGGGTTCTGGAGCTCCGGTTCTGGAGGTCAGGTTCTGGAGGTCAGGTTCTGGAGCTCCGGTTCTGGAGCTCAGGTTCCGGAGGTCAGGTTCTGGAGGTCAGGTTCTGGAGCTCCGGTTCTGGAGCTCCGGTTCTGGAGGTCCGGTTCTGGAGGTCGGGTTCTGGAGCTCAGGTTCTGGAGGTCAGGTTCTGGAGCTCAGGTTCTGGAGGTCAGGTTCTGGAGCTTGGGTTCTGGAGCTCCGGTTCTGGAGGTCAGGTTCTGGAGGTCGGGTTCTGGAGCTCAGGTTCTGGAGGTCAGGTTCTGGAGGTCAGGTTCTGGAGGTCAGGTTCTGGAGGTCCGGTTCTGGAGCTCAGGTTCTGGAGGTCGGGTTCTGGAGGTCAGGTTCTGGAGGTCGGGTTCTGGAGCTCAGGTTCTAGAGGTCAGGTTCTGGAGGTCGGGTTCTGGAGGTCGGGTTCTGGAGCTTGGGTTCTGGAGCTTGGGTTCTGGAGCTCAGGTTCTGGAGGTCAGGTTCTGGAGCTCAGGTCCTGGAGGTCGGGTTCTGGAGCTCGGGTTCTGGAGGTCCGGTTCTGGAGCTTGGGTTCTGGAGGTCAGGTTCTGGAGCTTGGGTTCTTGAGCTCCGGTTCTGGAGGTCAGGTTCTGGAGCTTGGGTTCTGGAGCTCGGGTTCTGGAGCTCAGGTTCTGGAGCTCAGGTTCTGGAGGTCAGGTTCTGGAGGTCAGGTTCTGGAGGTCAGGTTCTGGAGCTTGGGTTCTGGAGGTCTGGTTCTGGAGCTTGGGTTCTGGAGCTCCGGTTCTGGAGGTCAGGTTCTCGAGCTTGGGTTCTGGAGCTCGGGTTCTGGAGGTCAGGTTCTGGAGCTCCGGTTCTGGAGCTCGGGTTCTGGAGGTCAGGTTCTGGAGGTCAGGTTCTGGAGCTCCGGTTCTGGAGCTCAGGTTCTGGAGCTCAGGTTCTGGAGCTCGGGTTTTGGAGGTCAGGTTCTGGAGCTTGGGTTCTGGAGCTCGGGTTCTGGAGGTCAGGTTCTGGAGGTCAGGTTCTGGAGCTCAGGTTCTTGAGCTCGGGTTCTGGAGGTCAGGTTCTGGAGCTTGGGTTCTGGAGCTTCGGTTCTGGAGGTCAAGTTCTGGAGCTCCGGTTCTGGAGCTCGGGTTTTGGAGGTCAGGTTCTGGAGCTTGGGTTCTGGAGCTCGGGTTCTGGAGCTCGGGTTCTGGAGCTCCGGTTCTGGAGGTCAGGTTCTGGAGGTCAGGTTCTGGAGGTCGGGTTCTGGAGCTCAGGTTCTTGAGCTCGGGTTCTGGAGGTCAGGTTCTGGAGCTCCGGTTCTGGAGCTAGGGTTTTGGAGGTCAGGTTCTGGAGCTTGGGTTCTGGAGGTCCGGTTCTGGAGGTCGGATTCTGGAGCTCAGGTTCTGGAGGTCAGGTTCTGGAGCTCAGGTTCTGGAGGTCAGGTTCTGGAGCTTGGGTTCTGGAGCTCCGGTTCTGGAGGTCAGGTTCTGGAGGTCGGGTTCATGAGCTCAGGTTCTGGAGGTCAGGTTCTGGAGGTCAGGTTCTGGAGGTCAGGTTCTGGAGGTCCGGTTCTGGAGCTCAGGTTCTGGAGGTCGGGTTCTGGAGGTCAGATTCTGGAGGTCGGGTTCTGGAGCTCAGGTTCTGGAGGTCAGGTTCTGGAGGTCGGGTTCTGGAGGTCGGGTTCTGGAGCTTGGGTTCTGGAGCTTGGGTTCTGGAGCTCAGGTTCTGGAGGTCAGGTTCTGGAGCTCAGGTTCTGGAGGTCGGGTTCTGGAGCTCGGGTTCTGGAGTTCCGGTTCTGGAGCTTGGGTTCTGGAGGTCAGGTTCTGGAGCTCCGGTTCTGGAGCTCCGGTTCTGGAGGTCAGGTTCTGGAGCTTGGGTTCTGGAGCTCTGGTTCTGGAGGTCAGGTTCTGGAGGTCGGGTTCTGGAGCTCAGGTTCTTGAGCTCGGGTTCTGGAGGTCAGGTTCTGGAGCTTGGGTTCTGGAGCTCCGGTTCTGGAGGTCAAGTTCTGGAGCTCCAGTTCTGGAGCTCGGGTTTTGGAGGTCAGGTTCTGGAGGTTGGGTTCTGGAGCTCGGGTTCTGGAGGTACGGTTCTGGAGCTCAGGTTCTGGAGCTCGGGTTCTGGAGCTCCGGTTCTGGAGGTCAGGTTCTGGAGGTCAGGTTCTGGAGGTCGGGTTCTGGAGCTCAGGTTCTTGAGCTCGGGTTCTGGAGGTCAGGTTCTGGAGCTCCGGTTCTGGAGCTCGGGTTTTGGAGGTCAGGTTCTGGAGCTTGGGTTCTGGAGCTCGGGTTCTGGAGGTCAGGTTCTGGAGCTCCGGTTCTGGAGCTCGGGTTCTGGAGGTCAGGTTCTGGAGGTCTGGTTCTGGAGCTTGGGTTCTGGAGCTCCGGTTCTGGAGCTCAGGTTCTGGAGCTCGGGTTCTGGAGCTCGGGTTTTGGAGGTCAGGTTCTGGAGCTCGGGTTCTTGAGCTCGGGTTCTGGAGGTCAGGTTCTGGAGCTCCGGTTCTGGAGCTCCGGTTCTGGAGGTCAGGTTCTGGAGCTCGGGTTCTGGAGCTCGGGTTTTGGAGGTCAGGTTCTGGAGCTTGGATTCTGGAGCTCGGGTTCTGGAGGTCAGGTTCTGGAGGTCAGGTTCTGGAGCTCGGGTTCTGGAGCTCCGGTTCTGGAGGTCAGGTTCTGGAGGTCAGGTTCTGGAGGTCGGGTTCTGGAGCTCAGGTTCTTGAGCTCGGGTTCAGGAGGTCTGGTTCTGGAGCTCGGGTTCTGGAGCTCGGGTTTTGGAGGTCAGGTTCTGGAGCTTGGGTTCTGGAGCTCGGGTTCTGGAGGTCAGGTTCTGGAGCTCCGGTTCTGGAGCTCGGGTTCTGGAGGTCAGGTTCTGGAGGTCAGGTTCTGGAGCTTGGGTTCTGGAGCTCCGGTTCTGGAGGTCAGGTTCTGGAGGTCAGGTTCTGGAGCTCCGGTTCTGGAGGTCGGGTTCTGGAGGTCAGGGGCTGGGCGGCAAGCAGGGAGTGCAGGCGAGGAGGGGAATAGCATTGGAAAGAGCGAAGTAGTCCATTGGACCAAGTCGCGCGCGTGGACTCAGTCCAGTCCTTTGCCATGCCATGCCCCTCCGCCACCACCCTCCAGCTTACCCTCCAACTCTTCCCATTGTTTTCGAAGCACCAGCACTTATCTCCACCCTTCTGCCCCGCACTGCCCCCTCTGCTCATCCCACCAGGTGAAGGCCATGCTGCCATCCATGCCGGTGGCCCAGTGCCTCTCCCTCGCGCTCACGCCCCCTCCACCCACCGCCATCTCCTCCTCGCTCGCATGCCTGGCGTCCCTGTCCGCGCTGCACTTACCATCAGAGGTGCTCTCTCCTCTGGGCGCGCATCTAGCTCGTCTGCCTCTGGACGTGCATGTGGGCAAAATGCTGCTCTTCTCCGTGCTGCTGCGCTGCCTCGACCCCGCCCTCTCCATCGCTGCAGCCGCGGCGCACGCGCGCCCGCTCTTCCTCGCGTCGCCTGCCCACAGGGACGTGGCGGCGCAGGCCAAGGCACGGTTCGCTGGTGCCACACGCAGTGACCATGTGGCCGTGGCAGTGGCGTACCAGGGATGGGTGGACTCTAGGGGCGGAGGGAGGGGCGGTGGGGGAGGTGAATGGGCTTACTGTGAGGCGAATGGTTTGTCGCGGGATACTCTGGTGGCTATGGAGGGCCTCAGGCGAGACTTTGTGCTGTCGCTTGCGTCCCTTGGCTTCCTACCTGCTAGCTATGTGTCTGCGTGGATGGACAAGGACAAGGGCACCAGACATGGCCGTGTGGAGGGTGCAGCAGGCAGGGGTGGGGAGGGACAGCGCTGGGATGTGTTCAACGAGAACTCACAGTCGTGGCGTGTGGTGAAGGGTGTTATCTGTGCTGGCTTCTACCCCAACGTGGTGCGCGTGCAGAGGCCTGAGAAGCGCTTTGTCAAGACAGAGCATGGGGCAGTGGAAAAGGATGCAGCAGCACGTGCAGTGCGCTTCTACACCCGAGAAGACGGCCGCGTGTTCTTGCATCCAGGCAGCGTGAACTTCTCACAGGGCACGTTTGAAAGCCCGTGGCTTGTGTTCAGTGAGAAGGTCCAGACCAGCAAGATTTTTATCAGGGAGTGCTCCATGGCTCCAGCCTTCGCCCTGCTCTTGCTGGGTGGTCTGCTCAACGTCAATGCAGAGAGGCGGCTCGTCACTGTGGACAACTGGATTCAGTTCGAGGCTCCTGGCCGCATCGGAATATTGGTCAGGGAAATGCGAAGCAAGGTTGAGGAGGTGTTGAGGGACAAGATAGCTAGACCTGACATGGATCTTAGCAGTCATCCTGTGCTGGAGGGCATGGCTGAACTTATTTCTTCTGAGGGGTTTTAAACAGGGCCCTAGATATCAGACTTTAGAGTCTGAATCAGAGTCAGTTCAGACTTTTTTTTGGTACCTAGTCTGCACTCTAAGAATTTTTGGTGGGGCCTTGTCTGCAGGGCCTCAGATTCACTTTTAGGGTCGTCGACCCATCAGGGTACCCCTATGTAGAAACCCTGATTGACAGTGTTCCTAAAAAAAAAAGCCTGAA